CGCCAACGCAAAAATAAGTTCTGCGCAAAAAAACCTTGATACACCCCGGTGTTGGATCGACCAGGGTTATTTTTTTGAAGCGCGGCCGAAGACCGCCAACGCAAAAAGGAGTTCTGCGCAAAAAAACCTTGATACACCCCGGTGTTGGACCGACCAGGGTTATTTTTTTAAAGCGCGGCCGAAGGCCGCCAACGCAAAAAGAAGTTCTGCGCGAAAAATATTTTGATACACCCCGGTGTTGGACCGACCAGGGTTATTTTTTTTTGAAGCGCGGCCGAAGGCCGCCAACGCAAAAAGAAGTTCTACAAGAAAAAAGTAATATTGTCATAGAGGGTATAACATAATACTTCAATTACAAAAGATGTCGATAAGGTAACACTGGTTATTTGAAATTTTGCAACCCTTTTGCTATTGTCAGAAATAATAGTATTTAACAATAATTTAATTATTGAATTAAACTATTTTTGCACTATATAATGTAAAATAAATGTGTACAAACGAATTAGTGAAGTGTTAGTGGATATAAAAGTGGAAAATATAAGTGTATAACTCATTCGAAATGGGAAAAATGCGTACTTTAAATAGTCGAAATTTTGAACTTTAAACCCAAATATCTCGAAAACTATAAGTTTCCCGCGGCTATATCTATATATATTCTTGATCTGGATCTCCTCTATCCGCCCATACCCATTTTATCCCCGAAAGCGTGGGACGTTATACTAAAGTTTTCCCTGAAATCCTCTTGAAAACACAATTTGTGGATTGTGGAACCAAAGTCGTTCTGACCGACATTGTGTGTTTTCGATGAGTTTTCATTGACAGCTCACACATCTATTTGTTTACATTTGTTTTGTACTCTACAAGAACAGTGAGGGCAATATGACAGTCATAGCTGAAAAAATGTTGTCACCGCGCAGAACAAAGTTTCTATCATTTTCTTAAGAGCCTTGTGCAAAAACTGATGCAAACAAACGTATGTGTGTGAGTTTGCATCTCTCTTTAACACATAGGTATTCGGAATTGATTCACTATATATCTATACTGCTCACTCTCATGTCTTTTTCTGAGTCATTGCTGACCATAAATCCGTCATAGCTGAAAATTGTCAGTTATGACAGAAACGCTATCAGAAGTGAAAAATTCTTTTGCGCAGTAGATAATATAATATTTATTTCTTTAATAAGTTTCAAACTTTTAATCAAAATTAGTTATAATAATATACCTAAATATAAAAAGGAATGCCACAAAAAATATAATAATATATGAAAATATATAAAAATAAATTTTCACTTGATGCCATCTCCTCCTCTCAATAGCTCTGGGTACGTCTTTCTCCAATTAGTGGATAGTTCTGAATTTAAAAATGCAAATGTAAATTAACAGTACTGGCATATTAAATGTGAGTGTATTGGTGAACCCATCAGCAGTTTCTTGTAGTGTACGTTTAGGCCAATTATGGAATGTAAGCAAATTGTCAACTGACATTTAGGGCTGGCAAAATATGTCTTCTAATAATATCGATTAAACTAGAGGAGGCACCGATTATAATGAGTGGAATGTAAGTTTTCAAGGGGTTTTCAGCGAAAACTGTGTTTTCGTTTGACAGATTTTGTATGGATGAAAACACAAGTTTTCGCGTGAAAACCTCTTTTGTCTATGAAAACACGAATTTTGTGTCGGTGCGAACATAGTATTACAGGTAGACGATTTATCTAGAAATCCGTTACAATTGGTGTCAGAAGTGGGATTGTCAAATAAATTCCCAAGGAGATAATTATTTGAAAGTGGCCAAGTTTAACGATAACGATTCCACAACTGAAAAAGGAGCTGGAGCAACGAGGTTTGGCGACAAATAGATTAAAAAATGAATTACAATCATGGTTGAGAGAGGCCATGGAGGCGGAAAACATTAATGTTGAAGATTATGTCTTTAACATAGAGGAGGAGAGGAATTAGAGGAAGAGACAACAAAGATAGGAGAAAAGGAAGAGGCTTAATGCTCGTCAAAGATGATGGACATAAACATGATTTTTGCTGCAATATCGCAGATGGGGAAAGAGCAGAATACACGTATGTCTCAAATATCAACAGAAATATCGACACAATTTAAAGAGCAGGATGCACGTATAACCCAACAAATAGCAGAGGTGTCATCACAAATGTTGACACAACAATCGGAAGAGCGGGATAAAATTAAAACTGAAATGGATGAATTAAAAGATCGTATCCGCGAGCTACAATTAAATCGGTCAATTGTGTCAACAGCTTCTGCCAAGGTAAAACCTCCATCCATTGATGGCACTGTTCCGTTCCACGTTTTTAAGTTTAAATTCGAAAAGACGGCATCTTCAAATAATTGGAACGCTGAAGATAAAGTAGCTGCATTGTTGGTTGCATTAAAAGGATCTTCAGCGGAGATATTACAGACCACTCCAAACTGAGAGGCGAATAGTCATGAAACGTTGATGGGTGCATTAGAAAGACGGTATGGTAGTGAGCACAGGAAGCAGATCTTTCAAATGGAGTTTCGAAATCGCCGCCAGAAAGCCAATGAGTCTCTGCAGGAGTTTTCTACAGAGATTGACAGGTTAACTCACTTAGCTTATGCACATAAATCCATGGAATACATCAAGGACACGAAAATTCAGACTTTCGTCAATGGAATACGAGATAACACTACACGCTTCGCTGCATTAGCATGTCCAAAATCGAAACGGTAACGTGCGAGATCGTAATTGGAAAGGCAATTTTATAGTGGCTGATATCGTTGACGAAGCCATAATTGGGTACAATTCAGGTGCGCCGTTTGAGCGAGTAACCATGGATGTAGGTGGTCCATTTCCAATCAGTAAATTAGGAAACAGATATGTTTTGGTAGTCATTGACTATTTCAGCAGATGGCCAGAGGTATACGCAATTCCTAACCAAGAGGCAGGAACAGTAGCGGATGTATTCATCAACAATTGGGTATCGAGATATGGTGTTCCAATTCTGACCAAGGGAGAAATTTTGAATCAGCTCTAATACAGGAGATATGCCAGAAGCTACCCGTACAACTGCACTACATCCGCAGTCCGATGGCATGGTAGAACGATTCAATCTTTGGAAGAACATTTGAGGAAAGTTGTGGACAAGTATCAAAAAGATTGGGATACCCATATATCCTTGTTCCTGATAGCTTATCGATCTGCTGTACATGAAACAACGGGGCAGACTCCAGCAAGGGACGCCAACGAAGGAAGGAATACTAAGGAATTCAATAGCATCCTAGAAGACGAGATGAGGGATAAAAATGCTATGGTGAGACAGCGCAAAAAAATTATGAGCGATAAGATGAAAGCAAAATACGACATGGCTATAAACTCTGAGGGTTTTATTGAAGGCGATTGGGTATTGTTATATAACCCACAACGCAAGAAAGTGTTATCTCCCAAATTACAGTGCAATTGGGAAGGGCCATACCAGGTTATTAAACGACTCAATGATGTAGTGTATCGCATACAGACCATTGGAAGACCAAGGAATAAAATGAAGGTGGTTCATCTGGAACGGCTTGCAGCGTTTGGTACCGCAAATATGTCTAATCGGGACGACCAGACTTAGGTAGAGGGCAGTGTGGCGAACACGAATACCAGCGAATTCGTAGTTGTCAGAATGTTCTAGTACCGTACTTTTGTTAAAAATTTACTATATAAGGGCTGCCGGATTGTGCAGCAGGGACAGTTCATATTAGAGTGTTGAAGTGTAAAAAGCAATTAAGCTATAAACAATAAGTTGTAAACTCGAATATCGAGCAATAAGTGTTAAGTTGTTGGAAACAAAAGTAATGATAAGTGTATAGCCATTAAGTTGGGACTTTAATTTAACAATCTAGTGATCGAACTCAAGAGTGAGTTACAGGTAGACGATTTATCGAGAAATCCGTTACAATATAAACAAAAATATGTTGTTATGCGTTTTTCGGTATTAAATGAGGACGTGTAAATTTCAAAATAGCTGTATCGTGATATAAAATTGTTTTCAGTATAAGTTTTTGAAGGCTATAACTTTCCATCCCATATCTTCTAATTATATTGCGTAGCAATTTATGTAGCAAGAGCGTGTTCTACTATATATACTCACTAATGAATCAGCGAGAAGAAAATGATCTTTGGCTGAAACAAGTCTTCAGTGTTGCTGAGGTTGAGCAAGCACTGTTAGCCCTTGAAAATGTGTGTGAGCAAGGCACAGTGAGCAAGAAAAAGTCAGTATTTGTTAAATTACGGAGCTCATAGTACCACACTCAGGAATTCTTTGAAAGACACCTAAATGTCAGGATGGACCACTGTATACTAGAAGTGAACCCGTTATATATTCGCATAAGTATTGTTTAACATAAGCAATAAACAATCTCCGTTGTTGATATTGGGAGCAATAAAGATTTCTGGACATAATTTATTGCCTGCCGAGATGCATCGTTAAGGACATATGTGTCTAAATTTTCTTTATTTGATCAGAGTTGCTTGGCAACACTGTGTAAACATTTATTCAGGTTAGAATTTGGCAATGGCTTTGGATAGTGGTGCTTCTATTGTTTGCCCTACACTTGCAGGTGAGAAATTTTCGGATTTCAAAGAATTTCTTCAATATATATGATATCCACATATGAAACATAATATTTAAATTTTAGTTCGTTCCAATTCTGGTGTGGAAGTATGGTCGTGTGAAAATTTGAGTTTACAATATGCGTATAAACCAAATCTTCCAAAAGAAGACAGCAAAAATTGCCGATCTATTTCTTTTAGTGCAGATGGCAGATATTTTGCTTATTCAAATGGAACCGAAATTAAAGTTCTTAAAACCAACCATTGGGCGATTGAATGCACACTGCCACGTCCAAAAGCCTTCTACCTCAAATTTTCGCCGCTTGGAAATTACTTAGCAACATGGGAATTATATACTGTTACCAAAGACAAGCCGGAAGGTTCATCCAATATGTTCATATATGAACTTAGTTCTGGGTTGGAAGTGTTTACTACTGTGCAGAAAAATCCTACTGACTGGGAGCCGTCATGGTCGTCTGACGAGTCACTTTTTGCCATAGTTGTAGGTGGTGAAGCACTGTTTTATGAGATATCAGGAGATATTACGAGTTTTCACCGCCATACACGGAAAATTGGTGGTAACAGAGGTGCGGTGGTATCATTGTCGCCAGGAGCTTGCCCTCCGTATGTTGCAGTATATACACCCGGTAGTAAGGGAGGTCCATCAATGTGCAAGCTTTATAAATATCCTACACTTTTACCTAACCAAGCAATTGCATGTAAAAGTTTTTTCCAAGCTGATCGTGTTGATTTACTTTGGAACAAACGTGGTTCCGGGATTCTTCTATTGACATCTACAGAAGTTGATAAAAGTGGAGCATCATATTATGGAAATCAATCATTACATTTTATGGCGACGAAGGGAGATTCTTGCTCGGTACCTTTATGTGAGTACAATGGCGTTACCTGAAAATTAATATATTTATGTATATTTTTCCCATATCGGATGTCACCACAGAAAAGCTGAAATGCACTTTGTAGAAGAGATTTTGCTTACATAAATATATAATATATAGGTTTATATGTAATATCGTTAACGCCGAAAATCAAATTTTACAGGAACAGAATTTTTTTTATATTTTATCTCTATGTTTATCAAATCCTTTTTTTATTTTTTATTAACTTTTTACATATATAACGAGAATATATATTCTGTTTTGCCACAAAGGCCTTTAAATCATTAAATTTATTAAATAATATTTTAGGTAAATGTATAGTTTAGGTTCCCAACTAAGGAGGTCTCAAAAATGAAATTTTTTTAAATCGTCTTATTTTGACGCGAATATTACATATCCGTGAATTTTTTCAATAATTTAGGTATATATTTACAAATATGTTTGACGCACCTTGCACATATTTTTCAAGTCACTTAGTTGTTCTTGTTGTAGCGGCGAAATTCTTCAGAATTCAGATCACTTAGCTGTAATTACTAGTTCAGCGAGTTAAACATTTTCTTGTGAAAAAAAAGAACCGACAGTTTACACAAGAGGCCAAGCCCATGTTGTGTAAGTGCTTCTTGAGCTTGCAATAGCCGCTGTAGAACGCGACAAGTAGCCGCAATTTATTTCTGGGGATATTGATTACGATTTTAAACCTGCTGAGGTTGTAACCATCCATTAGCAACCTGGCAATGCGCATGCCTACGCTTTCCTCATTACGGAACAGCTCCTTTATGGTATAGGTATCAACCGCGATGTACGGTTCTGATTCTACCATTCGTGTGGAAGCTGCAGAGCGGGCAAGCTGTTGACGAGCTTCATTCCTGGCTATACCCTTGTGACCAGACTCCCAAATAAGGAGTCCAGCCTTACTATACTTTCCTGCACCAGTATTGATTTAACTTCATAATCAGAGATCGCCACTTGACTATCGCTGAGTATGGCAATACTTTCGTTGCGATAGTGGCATTAGAGGTTTATCTTTACACACCGACTTATAGCATAGACTTCCCCTTGGAATATTCTTGAAAAACTTCCCTTGGGAATGGAAAGCTTGGTTTCGGTTTTGTCACTGCATTCTAGGTAATTAAGTCTCCAAATGTTTTCGGATGTAATTTTTTGATATTAAAATAGTTCGCCCATATATCTTTTTGAATTTTTTTTCACATTGGGACATCACCTTCATGATTTTTCTATTGTTTTTTGTTTTGTATTAACTGTATACTCAAGAACTTCAGTTTGTAGATTGTCTTTTTGCCAGTCAGTTAACGGACACATCGGGAACTGACGATCTTAGGCTTTACGAAAAGAAACCAATGCTTTCAAAATGGAATATATATTGGTATAGAAGCTACAGTAAAATTAAATTAAAAATTTAAGTAATTATGAGAAGTTGCCGACAGATTTTTGCACACGATGTTGTAAGGTGCGATTTAGTTACAAAATTTCTGCTATATGTTGGAAATTATTTCTCCACATTATTAATAACTTATAACATTTTGATAAAATTAATTAAAATAGGTATAACATATTATTTTTGTTTTGACTTTATATTACAGCAAAAGAAGGACCTGTTCATTGCGTTAAATGGAGCCCAAAGGCAACTGAGTTTGTTGTGGTTTATGGATTTATGCCTTCTAAGGCAGCACTTTACAACTTGAAATGTGATGTTATTTTTGATTTTGGAGAGGGTCCTCGGAATTGTGCTTTTTTTAATTCATTCGGAAATCATATCCTTTTCAAAAATTCTTTATTTATTTAACATGTGTTTGAATTATTAAAGGGGTCTTCTAGTCTAGAGGCATGAATTTCAGGTTATTTTTGAAGTGTCGTAAAAAAAGGCAATCTATATTTTTACTATCCATTTTTTTTTATTAGTTATTAATATTAATAAACAAGAATACAGGAATAAATAAAAAATGTTAAAAATTGAAAAAAACTAGCAGCTGATGTGTAGTGAGGCTCTCAAAAAATTGCACGTGACCAACCATACTCACGATTTCACACCCTCTCTTATATATTTGAGACCACAAATCTAAATCTATAATAATGTCGCAATGTCTGAAACTACGGAAAAACTGAAAAAAAAACAATTTTTTGCCACTGTTTTTTGCTGTTTCGTATTTTTTTAAAAATAGTACAAATTGAAATATGGGGATATGGTTACGTCCGGACATAGACAAGTCTATAAGAAAATTTCAGGTGAATCGGTTCAATAGAAGCTGAGAAATCGTGGGTATAGTTTTGAAAAAGATAGTTTCGAGAAAAACGCGCTTAAAGTTTTAAGTTAAAACTAAACTGGTCAAATTGCAACGACACAAAAACGGCTGAAAATAATTTGAATTTTGTAAAATCCTTTTAGAGATATATTTTTGAATATCTAAACTGTTGAAATATGTAAGTAATAGTAGACTAGAATGCCTCCTTATACTTTAAATATATTATTCATAAGGTATTCTTAACTACTTTGCACTTCTAGCTTTAGCAGGTTTTGGTAATTTACCGGGAAACGTGGAAATATGGGACATTAAGAAAAAAGAAAACATGACAAATATAAAATGCCCTGATACAACATACTTTGAATGGAACCCTAACGGAATGTATTTTATTACAGCCACAACAGCTCCAAGACTTCGGATAGGAAACGGGTACGTAAACTAGATCACTTTAGTGCTTTTCTCAGTTTATATACATTTAATTATTTAGCAAATGTTTTAATAAGTCTATCCTTAACCCGCATAATATTTCAGATGTATATATTCACTCGATGTCTCAACAATAAATCTGGTTTTTAAGACATTAATTAAAACTAAAATAATTTTTTTTTTTAGTTAACACTTACAATGATTTTGACAGTAAAAAATGTTATATAATATTGCGATTATTAAACGTTTAATATTAATTTCTTAACGCAAACGCGAAAAAATGTTAATTCTGGAATACAACTTTTCGACTCTTGCAACATGTTTAAACAGAGAGCATAATAGTTTTGTTCACCTAACGGTTGTTTGTAACATCTGAAACTAATCGATATAGTAGATATCAAATAATGTTGTTTTTGTTGTAACGGTTATCTAGTCCCCGCTTGGATGATAAGTGATAGTTTGGTTGTCGTCGAGGTCATCTAACGGGAGGCCCAAGAAACAGGCTGTTTTGCTGTTTTGACAGGGTCGGACCATACGGAAAAGGATGTTAGATGAGTTGGGTTTGATGGGCACGCAAAGAGGTGGTTAGTATCATGCGGAGCCTCATTGCAAGCAGGACATATGTTGGAATGTTGGAGTCTATTATAGATAAGGCGTTTAAGGCGTGGTTTGACTCTTAGTACGCCATTTACTGAGAGGGAGTCGATGAATGCTAATGGCTCCACTGTGAATGGCGGTCAGTGCTTATCTGTAGTTCGTTGCGTCCGATGTCAGGTCGGTCGTACTATCGTCGACGTAATCAAGGAATAACCTCTTGATGTTCCTAGGAGGCGGTTCCGCTTCAAGCAGACGACTGCAGAGGCGATTTTTACGAAAACACCCCAGTAAAAACCGCTTGGAGAGGAGCTCATTATGTTCCTTAATCGGAAACATAAGGGCCTCACTGTGCAGGTGTTTTATTGGAGTGCAGTGTTCTGATAAATCTGAAGCTTCCTCGTCTGCGTTGCACTACATCCAGGCGACCATATTGGTGATGCATAGTTTAGGACCGGTCGGCCGATTGCCTTGTATGTTGCCAATAACGTTTCTTTGGCTTTTCCCCAAGGCAAGCTATTTGAGGATTTTGTTGCGGCTCTGTACTTTGGCAGCTATCGCGGTCGTGTGAGGAATGAAGGAGCACAGACTGTCCAATGTTACGCCTAAAATTCGGCCTCAAGTGTCTTCAATCCTGGGGAAAGGAGAGTTATCGGGCGATAGGACTTCCCTTTGTTGGCGGCTTTCTCAGGTTTCAGTAGTGGGACCACTCTACCGACTTTCCACACATCGGGTATTTGAAGAGTGGACATCGACAAGTTGAGGACCTTGGTGAGGTAGCTTACTCCCGTCGAGCCTCGATGTTTTAGCATCAGCATGCTAATTCCGTCAGGGCCAATGGATTTGGACGATTTGGTCTTTTTGATGCCACTCTGAACCTCCCCATCGCTGAAAGTAAGTGATGCGCAGTCTTTTGGCATTTTGCGCAGCCGTCGAGTAACACATCGTTTGGCCTTGTCGGTCGAAGGGTGCAGTGTAAACTGCCGGCTAAAATAGCTTACGCACTTTTTCGGGTCCGAGGAGGCATGGCCATCGAATTGAATTTCAACCCGGTCGTCATGTCCCTTCGGATTAAACAAGGCCTTGACAGTAGTACAAAACTTACTTACACCGGTGGAGAGATTGCAGGACTTCAGGTGATCTATCCATTGGTCAGACTGGGAGTCATGCTGCCTAGAGCTCCTTAGGGCCGTAGAGGTCCTTCCTTGGCCACTCGACTGGAGTGGCGGCGCAGTGCGCGAACATGGTGCAGATTGCACAGCCGTTGAGGCAGGTGTCGCAATAGTGCGTTGGCAGCAGGAAGCCACGTAACTTGTGGTCCACTCCCTATGTGCCTTTAAGGACTGAACAGGTCTTAAGATGGCTCCATCCATTGCATGTATTGAACCTAACCGAGGTGTAGTTTGGATGGAGTCTTTTAGCGCATATGCAGCAAAAGAATTCCTCGGGGCTCGGGTGGGACTCGATGCCAGCACGGGTCAAGAGGGGACGGCAGAAAACATCCCTGCAGTAATTTCGAGGAATGGTGCCGATTTGACAGTCCTTGGCCGTTCCGATTACTTCAACCCGACTGCCATGGGAACGGGTGAATTTACATGTTGTTGTAATTTTAACGGTTACCTAGTCCCCGCTTGTATGGTAAGTTTCAATTTGGTTGTCGTCGAGGTCCCTTAACAAAACGAGCTGTTTCGACGGGGTCGGACCATAGGGAAATGCGTGTTAGATGAGTGGAGTTCGTTGGACATGCAAAGAGGTGGTTAGAGTCATGTGAAGACTCATTGTATGCGGAACATATATTTGGTATGTCGGTGCTATTTTGGATAAGTAGGAGTTTAACCTGCTACAGTATCCAGAACGAAGTTGCACAAGGTTCACTCTAGATTCGCACTCGAGCTCTACGTTTGCGATGGGTAGTGGTTTTACTCCTAGTACGCCATTCACTGAGAGGGAGTCGATGAAAGCCATCAGGCTGCACTGTGAATGGCGGTCAGTGCATGTCTAAAGTTCGTTGCGTCCTGCTCTGCGTACTGTCCAATGTCGTCGACGTAATTAAGGAAGGACCTCTTGATGGCGATTCCGCTTCAAGCAGACTACTACAGGGATGGTTTTTAAGAAAATATCCCAGTAGAAACTGCTTGGAGAGGAGCTCGTTATATTCCTTAACCGGGGGCATACGGGCCTCACTATGTAGGTGTTCTATTGGGGACATCAAGAGTCATCCCGTGATAGTCCGGAGTGTAGTGTTCTGACATGTCTGGAGCTTCTTCGACTGCGTTGCACTACATCCAGGCGACCATATCGGTGCAGCGTAATTTAAGACCGACCGGCCGACTGCTTTGAAAGTTGCCAGCTGCCGGCAAGCGATTTCAGGATTTTCTTGTGGCTCTGTATTTTGGCAGTTATCGCGGTCGTGTGAGGAGTCAAGGAACACAGGCTGTCAAATGTAACACCTAAAATTTTAGGGTTAATGGCCATCGGAAATTTACCGCCATTGACTTTAAAGTTTATATCCAGTATGTAGTCCTTCGTCCAGTTTGTGAAAATGTTCGCTGTGGATTTAGTGGAGGAGAGTGTTAGGATCCTTGCAGAGAAGAAGCGAGAAAGGTCATAGATCGCTCAGGTAGTTAATAGTCTACCGCTTCAGTCCTGGATGTCCTCAAGTAGCGTTGTGTGGTTGACTGTGTCAAAAGCTTTTGACAAGTCCAACGCTCGAGGATCGTCCTCTCACTGGGTGGTTTTTGGTTTAGGCCATGAAGTATATGGGTGTTTATGACACTTACTACTGTGGTGGAGCTGTGCACTTTTCGCAAGTCGTGCTGGTGGTCTGCTAGACTCATGTGGTGAGTGAATGTCGGGAGTACCAAGGCCTCAAATGTCTTCACTACTGTGGAAAGGAGAGTTATCGGATGATAACTGGCATTATGCCCAGCTGTCGGGTAACACATCGTTTGGTCTTGTCTGCCAAAGGGTGCAGTGCTGAAATAGCTCTAGCTCTACTTCGGGTTCGAGAAGGCATGGCCATCGAATAGAATTTCCTCGGAATAGACAAGGCCTTGACAGTAGTCCAAAGCTAACCAACACCGGACCTGAAATGCTCTATCCATTTTGTTCGCTTATGCTGATTTACCATTTGCTGAATCTCCAAATTGAGATCCCTTATTCGGGGATCACAGGGATCGGCATGACTTAAGGTGTCGCGCTCATTGTGAAGCCGACTCAGTAAGCTTTGTTAAAGTTAACAAAGGTACGGTTGTCCACAGAAATAAAGTCGGAAGGTTTCTCGATCGAGATCATTATGGGCAAGTGGTCTGATGCCAGGGTTAGCAAAGGTCGCCAGGTTATGCTATTTATCAGACCACCGCTAGCGATGATTATATCAGGTTCCCATAATTCTGGTGGGGGCTTCGTCATTCATTGTGCAGATTGTCGAATAGTCAATCTGTTACGCCAGCTCCATCCCCCAATGATTGTTTGACAGGTAGGAAAGCTGAAGATCGCGGTGCGCCTTAAAGTTGCATAGCGCCAGATGGTTTTCATCACGAAGTTCTGGTATTACCCTTTGGCATATATTGAATATCTCGTGCTCGACATCGCCTGACCGGATAGCTATTTCCTGAAATTCTAGGGTAGTATCCTTCCGGTTGATGTCATCATTAGATTGGACGATGTTGCACGGTGTTATGCAGGGCTAGGCCTCCACCGTATCCTTACGTTTAACATTGAAACCTGCATAACTCAGAAAATCTGAACGGCTGTTTAGCTTGATTTCTTGGACTGGAGCTATCGATACGCGTTCAAGGCCCATATATGCAACTATCTCCTCGATCTTACTCTGGAGTCCGTTGCAGTTGAATTGAAGGAGTCGGGTGTCTAGTGGTGATCCTGGGAGTGAGGGAGGTTCGTGTAGGTGGTGGTTCTTGCAGCTGTATTATTATTGTGGTGTTATTTGGCAACGCCACTGTGTGGGATTCCTGGGACAAACTCCTGCAGCACGGGGCCGGTACGACGCACTCCACTCACGCGTGGTGCGCAGGCCGGAACACGACAGAAAGGGACACCAGCCTGTCCTGATATGGCGTTCCGGCGTATTACGGTCTAGCACACGGAACAGACTGTGCGAGGAACCAGGAGTTACTGAGTGGTTCTCGCACGAGGGTTGTAGCGGAATGAAGGTTGGGGGAGTGGATTGGTCAGACTGGGAGTCATGCTGCCTGTGTGAGCTCCTTAGGGCCGCGGAGGTCCTTTCTTGGCCACTCGACTGGAGTGGCAGCGCAGTGCGCGAACATGGTGCAGGTTGCACAGCCGTTGAGGCAGGTGTCGCAATAGTCCGTTGGCAGCATGGGGTCGCGTACCCCGTGGTCCACTCCTTATGTGTCTTAAGGCCTCCATCCATTGCATGTATTGCACTTAACCGAGGTGTAGTTTGGATGGAGCCTTTTAGCGCAAATACAGCAGAAGAATTCCTCAGGGCCCTGGTTGGACTCGATGCCAGCACGGGTCAGGAGGATACGGGGCAACCCAGCTGCTAGGTGTTGCTCTAAGGACGACAAACTTAAACTAAAACTTACCGATCCAAACAGGGTTAGATCGCCAAAATAACAGCCCTTGGCCGGATAAAATCCGAGTCAATTTCGGTAACGTAGAACCGGATGTTGTGGGAATTGGGTGACTACATCTTATATATTGGTCAATGTGTGCTGTTTCTTAATGAAATTTAGAGACCCTCTATTTCTGGTAATGACATCATAATATCATAACTGATATTATAAAAATTTCAAACTTCCGATTGGCTTTATATCGTACATATCGGTCAATATGTATTGTTTAATTTCGTACCCACTTTGTAAATTTCAGGAACTCACTCACTGACACCCTTTTATATGATTTAATACGAAAAAAAACTGCTGTTTGTAACTTATATTTCAATTTAAAAGGTTATTTTTTCTTATTTTACAACAAAATATGTCAGAAAAATAGTAGCGGATAAGTCCGTGTCCAAATGAAGCGAGGTGACGTGAGGATCGAAAAATTACGTGTGTGAAACAACCGTGTCACCCTGCTGAATAAAATAAGGTAGCGGAGTGATGTCGATCGCAGTAAACATATATCCGTAGCGCACGAAATCGGTGGCGTATTGTATGTTGAATAATCGAACGTGTTTTTTTCGAAAGATGAAGGCTGTCCTGTTGTCCATCCTTTCTATTCAGTGGGATAGTGTACAGGTGCGGTGTGTTGTGTGGTGTCATCGACTATGGTGTTTTCCAATTTGTGGTGTATTGGTGATTGTGTGTGTAAAATCGGTCCACGAATTACGCCAGCTATTTCGATTAGTCTAGAATGAAATTGGGATATCCCGTCCTTTTTATATACCCCATATATTAAATTTAGCCCCTTTAATTGAGTTTGTATCATATAATAAATCTCATTTGAGTTAATAAGGTTAATCTTAATATTAATATTTCGGACATGCAAATGGGTCTACAAATTATTTTCGAATAATATTTTCGGAATTACAAAATAAATAAAAAATAATTCAAAAATGAATTCTATTATATTTTTCAATGCATTATTTGTAACCCCTATTGTATAATGAAAAGCACATATAAGAAGTCTGTAACCTCGATCACATTTTTCAAAATCTGTTTTTTTTTAATTGATGTCGTAATCATAACTTAAATCCATTTGCCATCTCAGCAATTTGTTTGAAAACGCCAATTGTAACCAATCAAAAATTATAATTAATATAAGCTATATATCTTAAATACTTCCTAATCCTAACCAGATTTAATATGCCAATAATAGCAACATCATGATTGATTAAAAATTGTATTTTAAAAATATGTGAGTTATCTTAATGATATTCAGAGAGCGTGTATTCCTAAGAACAATGTACCTGGACCCTAAAAGGTGTTTTTTTTTATCGTTTTTATCAGTCACACCTTCAGTTTCAACACCTATTATTGAGCATAACATAATTGATCGATTTATTATAATTAGTAGAAAAACTGAATTCAAAAAAATTACTATCAAAAGCTAAAAATGGGCAACTCTCACCCTTAAGTTTTCAGACGGGCAGAAAATGTTGCAATTTTTTCAGATTAGAAGGCACCATTTTTAGAAGAGAACACGCAGCATTGACAGCCCAATACGATTGTAATACATTCATAGTTTCGTAAAATAGCGAATATTGAATTCTTTCGTAACGATTATTATTCCCTAAACAAGGTATATTAAGTTTGCCACAAAGTTTGTGATGGAATTTGAAATTGTTGCTTCGATGCAAGCATAATTCTACTCCGATTTTTTTCATTTTCACGCTTTTACATAAGAAAGTCAAGTGACTGTTATTATGTAATAAATATTATTCAAATCGATCGATTAATTGTTGACATGACAATTCACCTAACTGGAAATTTATTGTTTTATAAATTTTTGTACCAACTAATTATTTTAGAAAAACTGATTGATCATATCAAGATAAGATATATATTATTTTTACTTTCAGGTTTAAGGTCTATCACTATTCAGGATCATTAGTGCATGAAACTATATGGCCACATGGACAAGAGCTTTTGGGAATTGAATGGCAAAAATTTTCTGAAAATCAATTTGTGGAACCCGTGATAACTAAGGTAAAACCCGAAGGAATTAAATCAAGTTTACCAGAAGCAAGTAAAAAAGCATACACTCCCCCTCATCTTCGAATGATTAAAGAGGGAAAAGACCCAGAACAATTTATGCCACGTTCACAAGTTAAAGTTAATTCAACACAAACAGGTAATTTTCATAAAACTACGTACAGTATTTGACATATCATGTAAACATTTTTTCTAAATAAGCACTATATATTTTAGGGTAATAGTAAACTTTTTTGTGGGTAAGGTACCCACAGGTAAGGTGGGCGGTAAATATCTATTTTTTAGTAGTATCTACACAGTGATAAGAAAGGAAAACATATTAGTTAAACTTTATTTGTATTTGGGAGATTCTACAGGTCTTGCAAAACTGCACGAAAGCAAAAAATGCAAAACTGTCTTAGCAAAATTTACAAGAGTATGAGAACACCCCATTGAGGATTGTAGTAACTTTAAATAATTCATTACAGATGAATCCGGACAAGAGTTTGGGAAGGCCTAGAAAAGCTCCCTGTTATCTTTAATAAATACAATATAAGATATCAAACTCCTCTATATATTAGAAATAATAGTAATATAAAAACATATAAGAAAGTTCTAAGTTCGGGTGTAACCGAACATTTTATACTCTCGCAACTTGCTAGGATCAAAGCCCGGGAAATAACTTCAGGTGTTGGCAAAATTTTATATTAAAGGAAGTATTGAACCGATTCAACCCATTTTTGACTGAAAAACATACTATTATCGAGAGTTTCATTTATTAATTTTATTATATGAATTTCAATTATATATCTTACACATTGACCGATATTTTCTGTAAAAAGTGAACTATAGGTACTGGGGCCCACATATTCAGTACCTAGGTGCTTGAACAGTTTTGGTTTGATAGATAACTTTTGGTCACAAAGTGGCATACTTTAAACGCATTATTCAGGCAAAGTTTTACCGCAATAAAATCATTGTTGCTTGATTTGCATAGTGGAAGAATGAGATGGAAAATAAAAAGGTGTTATGTGAAAAATAGGCTTGGTTTTAATCCGATTTCGCCCCTTAAACCAAGTACTAAACTCGCCAGAGACATTAAATTTTATCTCTGGGATGGTGTGAGATGACTTTATAGGAGACGCGATCAAAATTAGACAGTGGGCGTGGCCCCGCCCACTTTTAGGTGAAAATCCATATCTTGGGATCTGCTTAACAAATTTCAACCAAATTCGATACATAACATTCTTTTCACATTTCTATGTTATAGTACGAAAATGGGCGAAATCGCATTATAACCACGCCTATTTCCCATATAACATCATTTTAAATTTTATCTGATTTTTTTTCTTTCCACTATGCAATTCAAGCAACAATGATTGTATCGCGGTAAAACTTTGCGTGAATAATACGTTTAAAGTATGCCACCTTGTGACCAAAAATTGTCTAAATCGAACCAAAACTGTTCAAGCCCCTAGGTACTGAATATGTGGACCCCAGTGCCTATAGTTGACCTTCTACCGAAAATATCGGTCAATCCACAAAGAAATCTCAAACGAGTATACGAGAGTATAAAATTAACCGAACATCCGAACTTAGCCCTTCCTTACTTGTTAAATTCAATTTAATGGAATAAGGTCAAAAATTTTATGTTAAAAATTCACTAATTTTTTAGAGCCGAATATTTTTAAAATTCTTACCTTATTGTATTGACAGATTTTAAATTAGTAATGTATACAAGTTTGTTCTATCACACGAACACTTCTTTATAATCTTCTTTTATATCTATATAATAATATTCAATCAATAAATCATTGAAGATTAAAGCTTTTCTGCTGTAGTTAGCTGAAAACTAGCACCGATTGTATGGTATAATCACAATCGAAAGTTTATAAGAACAATTTACATTAAGCACCAGTAAATTTATCAAGTTTATAGGCTAAATCTTTGTTGAAAAAATTATGAAAAATTTTAAGGGTTTATACAGATGTGTTATATTTTTATAAATAATGATAATGCGTTCTTCATATAATTTATGTTTAAAGGTTTCCCAGTTGGCAGAAAAGGCGGTTTGAAAGCAAACAGGGTAAAAAATAAAAAAGACATGGTTGATGGAAATTATGCGACGTCTACAACAAGTGCCGAAAAAGATTTCAAAAGCGAATCTAATTTAAATGATGAGCAGCTGAATAATCAAAATCGGAGAATCAAAACAAAACAAACATTAAACAAGGAAACAAATGCAAACAGTCCAGAAGGTCAAACACAAGCATCAAAAAAACCAAACTCGGAGAAAGAGAAAAAAATTCGTCACGTCGCAAAAAAATTGTCCGACATTAAAAAACTGAAGTTGCGTCAAGAGCAAGGTGAAACCCTTGAGTTAAATCAACTAAATAAAATTTCAATGGAGGCTAAGTTCTTGGAAGAATTAAAGGACTTAAAGCTAACCACATCTGAAACCGACCACATTTTTTAACTGCCACACAATATCCATGCCGTTTAAATTATTTCAAAATTATTTAAGGTTTGCAAATATGTAAATGGAAAATTGGGATTAAGCATTAATCTTTATTTTGTATTAACTTTTTGTATGATACTGTACAAAACATATTGTATTTTTTCCAAAAACAATAGAAACTTCTATATTCATTGTAAACAGTTATTATTGACAATAAATTTATGTTCGGTATGCGACTTTATTCTTCAAAATAAGCTTTTGTACGTACAGTTGCACCGTGCAATTCATGCGCAACTACTTGTTTGACCGACTTCGAAAATGTACTATTGCAAACCACCACAATTCAGTTTGATTACAATATTTGTACAGTATCTATATGCAACGTTAAACAACATTGTAAACCGATAAGATAAAAATGGATAAAATTAAGCCAAAATTTCAACATATGGAGCATATCGTCACCTAAAATGCAAGACCACCTATCATCTCAAAATTCCAAATTGAGGTTTTTCATTGATTACGATTAACTACGTCATAATTTTTATATGTATAAAATATAAGTAGTTTCTATTTTATACCGTTTTTCCTACTCCTGTAAAAAGTGATCTTACGTTATTTTACATTTTAGACGACGATATGTAAATGATTAATGCGTTTCAAATTGCAATATCATAAAGATAATTCTATTTACTTGAAAAATTTTAAGAAAAAATAAATTAATACAATAAATAATTATGTTTTTAAATTGGCCAGTCTTTGAGTTTCAGGTTGAAATACAAAATGAAATTAACTGAAACAATAAAAAATAATAATTGACAAAAACAAAAGAGTAAATCGTTCGAATTACTTGTTAATAGAGTGCACAAAGAAACTTCTTTAATTTTTAATATTTAATAAAAAATCAATAGTATAAAGTAGCATATTGTTTTACTTTCATAGCAGTAGCTCACGACTTAACCGTTGCATATTCAGAATGCAACTGAAACCTACGTGTAGCGCCCTTTCTGAAGGTGAATAGCAGCCATCATACTTTTAAAGGGACTAGGTGTAGTCAGAGATATGAGAAATGACAATTTTACAATTCTAGTTAATTTTTTTTATTTTTATTGTAGGTATTTTCTCCTGCGAGCGCCTTAGAGCTTTCTTGTCCTAAGGGATTTACATTTTGTCTTAATAACCTCATTTGGTTTATTACTTTTGCCATAAAAATGTTGGCCTAAATAGTATATGCTAACCATTGAAGCTACAACTACTTATCAGCAGTTGAAATTTTTGATTAGTCAACCCCACTGGCACAGAAGTTTGACAACATTTCAACCGAATTTTTTTGACGGTTTTGAGTTGAAAACCATAATACCGATATTCAAAACTTCAACCAATATACAGTTGAGTTGAAAACCGTAAAGGGGCATCTCGACAGGCAATTAAAGATTGCTAAAAATCTAAATTGCCTAGCAATATTGCCAATGGAGACTGCATATTGCCAAAGTTTTGGCAATTATTGTGTAATTACATTGCATGCCATACATTGCTAGCGATGTACTGTCATTTTGGAAGTTCGTCAGAGCTGTTTTCATTTGCGCACAAATCTTGAATAGGTAACATAGCTTCGGTCGATCATGATGCCAACTGCATTTTATCAAAGTTATATTCAAAACAAAAAATTTAAGAAGATATGGTAAATATAAATTATATACATGCATATGTATGGTTAATATTTTAATGATAATTGTAAGCATATGTAAATATCATTGCTCATATTTAATTATTGAATTATCAAATAAACTTTATTTATGCAACATTTATTTAAATGTTAACATATAATTTAATTTTTCTTAAACAAATACATTTGTATAAAATAGTAGATTTCTACTCTTTTCATTCTCCACAAAAATTTTTGTTATCAGAAAATTTGCAAACGGTTCAAAAGCTCCAACGTACCTACCCGATGCTACTTCGAGAATGAATATTTCATGATAGCAAATACTCACATAAGAAAATTGCCAACCTCAATGGCAATTAATTTTACAGATGGTGTTTAGGATTATTTACATTAGTTTAAGATTATTTTCTGATAATGTCAACTCCAATCTGGCAATACTGTCTTATTTAAGCTTTATATTCGTCATCTCTTTTTTATCATTCATTTGTCTTTATAATTATCTTTGTTTACGCATACTTAAAGTTACGGTATTTTAAATTCCGTTGAACTCCTATAAATGTCAGAGGACTTGTGTGTACGACGCTCTTCTCTGATTGTAACTTGGTGCTGATTGTATTCGTCTCTGGTTTGATGTCAAGCCAACCGGTCACAATCGTTAAAATCCCAATAAAGCATTGAGAACTCTATCCGCTGGTAATTTAATTATTTAACATTTTGGTGCCTCCTGTGAGGACAAATATTTTAATTTCATTTTGTAATTGCGGTGGTCTGGTTTCATGGCGGAGCTCAATTGGCGTTCATCGGCGGTGAAAGCAATAAAGCGCATACATGCACGTGTCTCGGAAGGTGTCATGGAAGGTCGTGATGTGTTTCATTTTCAACAAGAGCTCAAGTCGATTGAATCACACTTTGAGCGCTTCATGGAGAGCCATAATCGTCTGGTAGGAGGAGCTACGTCCTCGGGTGGTCACATGATGCACTTTGGAATCGATAGAGGAGCTGTATACCGCGGCATGCAGTAGCTGAATCGTCTCATCGCATCGTCAAGGTTGAATCTAGTCATCGCTGACAGGCACAATGTGTCCCAACATCTCTGGATGGCCATTTGGTGGATCTACAAATTGGACCGTTAGCTATCCCGTTATTTGATGGAGACATGTGTAAATGGTTAGCGTTCAGAGATGCTTTGTAACACTGGTACATAATTCGGCATACCAGAAGCGTTCAAATTGGGAAAACTTCGTCAGGCAGCCAATGCGGCTACGTTTCCGTTAAATGGTGGAATATCAGGTGGCTATCAAGAGGTGTGGAAGCTCTCAAGGACCGCTATGACAATAAAAAGCAGCTGGAAACACACGTATCCCGTTTTCTGAACCGTAAAACAACTACCCATGAGTCATCACTACGTTGTGCTATTGGACACGGTTCATGAGCCGCTCCGTGCATTGCGAGTGATGGATATCCCCTCTCAGTGGGATGATGCTGTACCAATAGTGGTGGCAAAGCTTCCATCGGTAACTAAGAGATTGGTGTATGAGGTGCTCCACTACAGAAATTCCACAGTTAGAAGACCTATTGAAATTTCTGGAGAGACTGCTCATAGCCTTGTTCCTGAACCACCGGTCTCATTAATGTTTTCTGTCGGAACGACCAGTGAGGGCGCATGTGGCTACCACGGAGGCAGCTCTGTGTCTCATTGCGGGTTAGCGCATCGAATCGGTGTCCTGCATTATTGGCTCTTAGTATCGAAGCGTTGAAGCCCTTAAAAATGCAGATGTGTTACAACTGTTTACGTACGGGTCATTCTAATCGACAGTGTCCATCTAGTAGCTGTCGAAAGTGTGAATAGCATAACACGATCCTATGCCGAAACAAGTCAACGTTTGCTTTACGACTCGGCAGCCGCAGGCGTGAGGATACCTGCGGAGTGCCGACAACCACAACACCTGTAGGCCCTCGCCCAATCCAAAGCCGATAACCCTTTTGCAACTGCGCGTGTATATGCCGTTGGAAGCATCGGTGCAGCAGTGGCACAAGTTCTATGCGATCCCGGATCACAGGTTAGCTTTGTGACGGATCGTCTAGCGAATTGTTTGAAGCTATTCGACGGAAATGTGATGTGAGGGTAGAAGGCGTAGGTGCTCATCAATACTGAAGTGAAAGGCAGCGTTACGTTCACTCTGAGATCAAAACAACTATTTCATTACTTCTCCGACTCCAGCAGTGAAGATTGACACCAATGGCCATTTGAGACATAGATTTGGCGGACAACCGTTTCGGTACCTGGAACTATCGGCATTCTGATCGGCGCGGACGTGTGGGGCGACTCATTGAAGGTGAAGTCATCGGTGGAGGACCAGACGAACCTTTACCCAGCGTACCCCTTTGGATGGGTGGTGTTTGGCCCAACAGCAGTGACCCTTCCTGCAAAGGAATCGTTGCTCCTCTAACCACTGGCAGACAGGGAGACCACCGGTTGGAGGAACTGGTGTCCAAATTTTGGCAAATGGAGGAATAGCGGTGGTTGACAATCTGCCAGAGAATGAATGTGCGCAGATCTTCGAGACCACTCATAGCCGTACCTTAGACGGCCGCTATATCGTACACTTACCTTTGCGACGAAAGCACGGAACTAGGTGACTCTTACGCACTGGCGTTACGGCAATTTCATGACTGGAGCGTCGCATGGTGCGGATCAGTCATGAAACTACATTTCATTTATGAGGTATGCAGCACTCGGACACATGGAACGTACAACCACCTTATGATCCAATTGCTACTATACCTCATCACGGTCACTCAGCAAGTTCCGCGTGGTGTTCAACGCTTCGGCACCTACCAGCACTGGAATCTCGGTGAACGATGTTCATTGGTAGTCCGACTCAGGATTCGCTGAGTAGTATACTTTTGCGTTTCGGCGCTATCGAGTGGCGATAACTGCGGACATAGAAGATGTTCAGGCAAGTATTGGTTGCATCTGAACATCGCGACAATCAACGAACTATATGGCGAGACTCCTACAGACGAGATCAGGTGTATCGCCTGAAGACCATCACGCATATGGCATGCAGTCCTTACAATGCAGTATGAACCTACAACAATGTGCTTATGATAATTCGCTGTGGTTCCCGAAAGACAACAAGGGACACGGGTTCGAGCTGCGATATTAACCTCGTTTATGTTGACGACTTTAACGAGTTGTGAAAGCGTTACCGGAGCAGTGGAGCTGGCTAGAACGTGGACGCCATCTTATCTGCGGGACAGTTCACTTAAGAAAATGGAACTCGAACGATAGTCAGGTAATGATACGTTTATCTAGAGCGTCACTTTCTAATTATGTCTTCATGCTGGTAGGCTTCCGTTTTGGGCTTAAGATGGGACGCACTGGAGGATCAGTTATTCTTTGCGTCGATTTATGTCAAGAGTAGAAATTCCAAAGCGCCGTGTAGTCAGCGCGTTGGCACGACTCTTCGATCCAACTGATTCTTATCGCTGTTATCGTAACAGGAAAATATTCATTCAGCGACTATGGTATGCGGGTCTATCCTGGGACTCACCATTACCTGATGATCTTTGCCGCAATGGCTGAAGTATCGGTTACAGCTTCCGGGCTCAATCAATTCGTATTGAACGGTAGATGGGAATGATTCACGCGTTCAGACATCATTTCATGGGTTTTGCGATGCTAGCTCACATGCTTATGCAGCAGTTATTTACGCGAACGTCGACAAACGGTTCGATGCGTTTCACACTTCTAACGGCACGTACAAGGTGGCACCATTAAAACCGCTACCATTCCACGCCTGGAACTTGCGGTAGCGCGCTCTTCTTGCCGAGACATTCCAGAACGTGCGAGATTCTTTGGGATTAGTTGACGTTCCTACTATCTGTGTTCGGACTCAGCAATCGTATTGTGTTGCTCAGGAAGGATCCACCAACACTTAAACCATTTATATCAAATCGGTTTCGTAGAATACAGGAGCTGACATCCCCGCCCGATGGCATCACATTCGTTCGGCTCATAACCCAGCTGATTGTGCCAGTAGAGACATCACACCCGTAGTAGAGTACATCCCTTGTGGCATGGACCTAAGGAGAGATGAAATGGGACAGTAGTGATGTTCCTCAGCAAGGAAGAGTCAAATGTCTTACTCGCCGAAAATCGAAATACAACCAAATTTATTGTACTCATTTCACATCCGTTGTATACTCGTCCAAACGGACACGCTATTTGTTAACTGAACGGTTCAGTAGTATCACTCGATTGTTGGTACATCGGCCATTATCCTGCGCTGGTTAAGAAGGCGTCATTTTCGTCAACCGGTGATCGTTGCTCGAGTTGGACGACGCATTCACTATAATCCGTTTATAGCAAGAGGAACATTTTGCAAATGAAATTCGACTATGACTGTTCAGGCTTGTCATTCCAGTCGGATATACCTTTAAGTCTATTTCTAGACAAGAACCAAATCCTCCGTGGGGACGCATCACCAGCGGCCGAACTAGGGCATGATCAGCGATTCCGATTATTTTGCCAAAGTCAACGCCGTTGGTCAGCTTTACTAAATCAGGCGCATGAGATTACACTGCATGGAGGCACGCAACTCATGCTGAACACTCTTCGTCAACGCTCTGGATTCTGAGTGCCAGGCAAGCAGTCAAGAGTTTCATCCATAACTGCGCAGTATGCCGCCGTCATAGAAAGTCCTGAGCAACAAATGCTTCCTTACCCGGGCAGAGGATCAGAGCAGCAAGGCCGTTCATATCATCTGGTGTCGATTACTGTGGACCTTTTACGCTACGCATCGGAACGAAACGCTCTCGAACGCACATCAAGACGTACCTCGCAATATTCGTATGCATGGTTACCAAGGCCGTGCCCATTGAGATGGTTGATGACCTATCGGCACAGGCCTTTTTAGATACTTTTACTCATTTCATCAGCCGACGCAGTCCCTGCCGGGATTTATATAGTGACGATGGTACAGCCTTTGTTGGTGCCAACCGACTTTTGAAGGAGGATCTTGCAGCATGGCAGGGTGAGAATAATAAGCGATCGTTAGCAGATTCGGGCACACGTTGGCATTTCATCACACCCAGTGCGTCACATCAAGGAGGCCTCTGGGAGGCTGCTGTGAAGTCCGCTAAGCATCATTTGACACGATGTGTGGGTACGCAGGTCATGTGGTATAGTCAACTGCAAACACTAGCCGTAAGAATAGAGGCCTGTCTCAATTCCCGTCCTATTACCCCACTTTACGACGATCCTGAAGTGAAACTTGCATTAACGCCAGGTGATTTCCTGATTGGGTCGCCCCTCCTAGCGGTCCCTGAACCAGATATCAAACATATTCCTAGCAACCGGCTGAAACAATGGCAATGGATACGTCAAATTCAACAAGGATTTTGGAATCGATGGAGTGAGGAGTATCTAACCATTCTGCAGAGACGCAACAAATGGTTTCGACGCACGAGGAATATAAGGGTGGACGATATCGTTCTAGTCAAACAAGAGAACCTGCCTCCCACTCACTGGTGCCGGGGTCGAGTGACAACACTACATCCCGGAGCGGATGAAGTGGTCCGCAATGTCACGTTGAGAACCGCTAGAGGATACATGAAACGAGCCATCCAGAAACTATGTCTATTGATAGAGAAGGAAGATTTCGAGTCAACCGACTCGACCGGGCAGGATGTTTAGGATTATTTACATTAGTTTAAGATTATTTTCTGATAATGTCAACTCTAATCTGGCAATACTGTCTTATCTAAGCTTTATATTCGTCATCTCTCTTTTTTCATTCATTTGTCTTTATAATTATCTTTGTTTATGCATACTTAAAGTTACGGTATTTTAAATTCCGTTGAACTCCTATAAATGTCAGAGGACTTGTGTGTACGACGCTCTTCTCTGATTGTAACTTGGTGCTGATTGTATTCGTCTCTGGTTTGGTGTCAAGCCAACCGGTCACAATCGTTAAAATCCCAATAAAGCATTGAGAACTCTATCCGCTGGTAATTTAATTATTTAACAGATGGTTAGCAATGTAGGGTCAGTTGTTTATTGTGGTAAACAGAGATAGCGCAATTGCTAAACGGCAAAACCTCCTGAACTCAGGCAACTGTCAAAGTTCAGGATATCTAACGTTTAGCAATTGGAAAAAGAAGGACGGACAGATTGAAATTCTTCAAAAAAATATGTGAACAGAGATTTGCTGCTGCTGTCGAAGATCACTAACAAAAATTTAAAAACAATGAAAATGAAAGAAAACTCGAAATTGAAATTTATGTGATGAAATCTTTTGTGATACCATGCTTAGTAGTATTAATTTTCAATTGAAAATTATAAAAAAAACATTTATTAATTGAAAACTAATACATTTATTTTTTTATTAAATATTGAAAGTTCAAACATCAATTGTTTAATATATTACAAAATCACAAAAAAGGGTTTAAATATTTTATACATATGTTAAACGGATATCCCTATAATATTTAATCTTAATACATGTTGGGTATTTTAATTTAAATTTCTGAAGGCCGCCAGTACGGAAAGAAGTTTGACGGGATTGAATTATGGACACCCCAATGTTATTTTTTTGAAGCGCGACCGAAGACCGCCAATGAGCTTCAAAAAAAAAAAAAACTCATACCTATCCAGAATAGACCCTGACATACCAAACACATGTCCTGCATGCAATGAGTCTCCGCATGACACTAACCACCTCTTTGCATGCCCAACAAACCCCACTCATCTAACACCCCTCTCCCTATGGTCCGACAGCTCGTTTCCTGGGCCTTCCGTTAGATGACCTCGACGACAACGAATCTAGAATTTATCACCCAAACGGGGATTAGATAATCGTTACAGCAACAACAACAACAACCGCCAATGCGGAAAGGAGTTCGACGATAATTCACTTTCCGCTGACGGATTTGTAATATTCGCGTCAAAATAAGACGATTTACAAAAATAAATTAATTTTTAAGGCCTCCTTAGTTGGAGGACCTAAACTATACACTTACCCTCCTATTAGCACTGGCGACCTTCGGCTTATACTTCTTATATAAAAATATACATAAATGATTGAAATAACTCATTTTCCGCTTACGGATTTGTAATCTTCGCGTCAAAATAAGACGATTTAAAAATATTATAATTTTCGCAGACTCCTTCATTGGGGGACTTGAACTTTAAATTTACCCAAAAACGATTTAAAGGAAGCCGGTGATGGACCCATTTACATTTGAATTGGAAAAGTTAAGAACCAAATGACAAGATAATATATGCAAAAGTGATATAATTGTGCAATATTATTGTAGTTTCAAAACACTTCTAGGGTCGGCTTTAGAACATTGTCACAGGGTTTTAGTGATGGAATGGGCATGGGCGAATAGGGGAGATCCTCCAGATCTAGAACATATATATGTAGATATAGTGAAGTGATAGTGGATATAAAAGTGTAAGATGAATTTTAAAACATAAAATTACAAGCTTTATATAGCTAAAACTTTCAACTTATATATTCTAGATCTGGAAACCCTGGGACAATATTCTAAAGTTTTCTCCCACTTCTGAAATATGGGATAGGTTTAGAAAACTGTCCCTGGAATTAAGGGGCATAATCCTTTGCAAAACAGCGTCCAACTATGTAGTACCACACAATTTTGTGACTATTATTTAAAATGAAAAACCAAGCCAGAATATTGAACCAGATACCTGCAATTTTCAGGAAATGGTGATATTACCAGATTTTTGATGTTGTTTTGCATTTTAGATGGCCATACCAATCTAGTTTGTAAAATTCGAGTATTTTATAAAACTTTGAATGTGAACAAAATGGGTAAATTTGAAAAATATGTTACATGTATAAAATCATAATTCCATTCAGCAACGTGTGCTCCCAATTAATTGTTGATAGTTTACTTGATAGAAGTGGTTTAATATATTAATTTTTTTAATTAGAACAGAGCTGACGCTTTCCTATCCTATAATTTCAAACGAAATATTTTTGTTAAATTAGAAATGTATTTTGCTCTCACTAAAATACAAGTTTAGTTTCTTCTATTGAATCCACCAGTGGAAGGTTGAGTTAATTGTAAACCACGAATATTGTGGAAATCCAAAAGCTTCAACATTTCCTTTGTGTCAGAATCAACTTCAATTATGTCCTGTTCCAAAGCAGATACAGCTGGAACATAATTATCGCGACGTTCTCGCTCTTCTTCTTGCAGTTTTATAGAGATGCCTCTAACTTGAGAGTGACGCAAACGACCCATCAAATGTGTAACATATCTAAAATATTATATGTAGTAAGTTATTTTCATTTTACGAAATAGAACTTACCCAGCAATCTTATTCCGCAGTGGCTTTGTAGGAATAATAGCAACTTCTTCACAAATTCTTTTATTTGTATGGAAATCCAAAGTCAAGCGCGTGTAGTATTTCTCAATAATGACCTTTGCGGCCTTCTTAACTGTTTTAGTTCTAACACGACCCTACAAATTGTAAGAAAAAATTATAAGAATTTTATATTAAAGATGACATGTTGGTATCAGCCATATTTAATAAATATTATCACCGAAAAAGACTTTAACTTTGCAATATTAAAACACAAATTCCTCTTACCATGGCTAACGTTTAATCGGAAAAGAACGTAGCAGCCCACATGTAGGCTGTGCAATTATTGGATTAAACAATCTTATATTTCATATTGCTCAGCTTTTGTTAGACTTCCATCAGACAATGCAAGACTTTTGCCTGTATTACATATCCCAGTAGTCACAACTACCGAAATACCAATTCATTAATAGTACTTTCGTTACAAGCAACAAACACAATTACAGAACATATGGTGAATTGTTTACATATTAAACACATATTTAAAGAATAAAACAACCAAGTTTTATGTATGAATTTAAGCTCAAGTAGGTAGGTAGGTAGAGTGGCTGTCCAATGACGCACCTAGGCCTATAGGAGGCCCATTGTGATACCACCGGGACTAATGTTCCCTCACTCTATCTAAGTTCGAGTAAATGTTCAGAAAAGCGGATTTTCTAACAAATTGGTCCAATTTGTTAGAAAAAATCTCCAAATGTCTGTTTTTATATGTGCTTTAACTATGGGCGCATGCCGCATTTGTTTTAATGAAAAATTAAATTTTTGCGAAGTTAAAATATACTTTTAATCATTAATCTACACCGTTTTTAAATGTTTTTTTTATCGCACGGCGCAGTTGGTTTTTATGTTTTTTTTGTAATAAAAAACGTCACACTGAATGACGGTGTTCCTTTCCATGAGCGCAGGCAAGCCAAACGAGTTTGCTCTCGGTCTGATCAAAAACCAAAATGAGGGCCTTAGTACTTTGGCCTGGTGTGTAGTAAATAGCAAGGTCGAGAATTTTAGGTGGAGGCTCAACTTCTGTATAGACGACGAATCGTACAAATTCGTCCGGAGGGAGAGCTATACTATAGGTTCAGCTCGGTGGTCATGAGGCCTTATAAGCCCAAGCCAGCCGCCGAAAACCAAACGGGGGAGAAGATGCTGATGGATGAGGTTGCGACTCAAACCAGAACTAGCACGTCGAAGCAAGTGGCTACTGCCAAGGCCGAGGTGATCCCTACTTAGAGGACTGGCGAACAAAGGGGGTGCTACCCTTCACGCAAGAGCTTCTGGAGGGACTCATGGACCTAGCTGGTGGCAACGCAGAGGACGGCGAAGACGAGGACCAGTTCTTCATGAAACCGAACTTGTGGTGGTTCCACACACGGAAGTTGCCCAGGTGAACCTGCATCATGCGGCGTCGGGGTCGGCTGTCATCGCGAGCAAGTTCACAGCGGATGGCCTGGGCATCCTGTGGATCCAGGAGCCATGGATCTATAAAGGAGAGGTCAATAGCCTCAAAGCAGAGTCAAATAAGAGAATATGGGATCTCGTTATTGAGAGACCTAGAACTTGCGTAGTAATTAGGAACGATATTGATTTCTTTGTTATCTCAGAGATTTTAACACAAGACGTGGTCGCTGTAAAGGCAAAAAAAACGAAAGAGCGGTCTTCGTCTTGGTAGTGCCTTCCTTTCGGGGGAGAAATCGACGACCTCAGAGGCCGTCGGGAACCTGGTGGAGTACTGCAGGAGGAATAATCTGCCTCTCTTCCTAGGACGCGGCACCAAAGCCCATCATACGGAATGGGGCAGCACGAACTGCAACACACGGGGTGAATCTCTCCTTGAATTTATACGCACACATTCGGGTGCGAACCCACTAGTGTCAGAAGGCAGGTGCTTGTCATCACTCTTGGTAACGAACTTCTGACAGGGCAATGGAGAGTGTCATCAGAAGATGACATATATATATCATTAGATTCGCACTAGGGGTAGAGGTCAAGCAACTCCCTCCCACGCGTACCCCTAGAAACACAGACTGGGCCGCCTTTAGGGATACGCTTGAAATAAATGTCAGTAGGAGGGGTAGCTGGACAACAGTGCAACTGCTTCTAGACTGGAGAGTAGATTGTCTGCGCAAAACCAGTCCATTATAGAGGTATATGACAGCAGCTGCCACCAAGAGCCGCAGTTGTTCTTGGTGGTCAAGTAGGCTCTCATGTACTAAGAAAACTGTACGCAAACTATTTAACAAAAAGAAGCGTACCGAGAACTGGGAAGACTACAAGTGCAGCGTAACTGCTCCCAACAAGGAGATGGACGGGACGTATACGACCAGCTCCACGGCCGCACAATTGAGAAAAGGAGTGTGGCAGCACCGGTACGCAAATGGATACAAGCCGTACTGCGCACCAGGATAGCTGAAACCACCGGAAGCGATACCAGAATTCGTCTAGGTACAACAAGAGGTTGCCCACAGGGTGAAGTGCTATCCCCCTACTTTGAAACCTTGTTGTGGACGAACTTCTTGAGCTGCTAACGAGCAATGGAATCCGCTGTCAGGAATATGCGGACGACATTGTTATCTTAGCCAGGGGGTAAATTTGCAGACACTTTCTGCGATATTGTACAAAAGGGGATTGGGTATAGCAGAGAGGTGGAGTAGTGGGGTTTGTTTAAACATCAACTCCTCTAAAACTACAATAATTCCGTTTACGAGACGAAGGTCACTGCCAGGCCTCACGCTGGATTCCACTCTACGGTAGCAGCAGCATGTGAACCTGACCTTAGTCAAGGCAACGAAAGCACTCATGGTGTGCAACCGACTTGCCGGTACTGGGGCTGCAACCAGAGGATTATCAAATGTACACCATAATTGTGAGACCGATCATAACATCTGGAGCGGTGGCTTGGTTTTCTAAAGCATCGCAGACTTCGGAAGGATTTCAACTATAGAAGCTGCAAAGACCGCGCGTCAGGCGTAATACGTAGTTATCCGACTGCGGATCCGCCCATGCGGATATTACAGCTGCAACAACCACCACCTACACGTACCTCCCTCACCCCCAGGATCACAACCGCACACCCGCGACAAACGCGAATTCTACAATTCAACTGCAACGGACTCCAGAGTAAGATCGAGGAGATAGTTGCATATACAAGTATGAGCCGGGAACGCGTGTCGATAGCTGCGGTCCAAGAAACCAAGTTAAACAGCCGCTTAGATCTTCTGAGTTGTGCAGGTTTCAACGTTTTGCGTAAGGATCGCGAGCGAGATAATGGTGGAGGCCTAGCCTTCATACTGCACAACAACGTGGCGATGGCAACATCGACCGCTGGGACACTGCCCTTGAATGTCAGGGTATAGCTGTAGGGTCAGGCGATGTCGAGCTCCAGATATTTAATATATACATCCCCCCAGTTACATGTTGCCCAACAGGATACCACCCGAACATAGGTGCGCTGCTTCGTGGTGAAAACCGTTTGGTGCTAGGTGACTTTAACGCGCACCACGATCTTTGGCATTCCTGCCTGTCAAATGATCGTAGGGGATGGAGCTGGCGGAACAGATTGACGATTCGACATTCTGCACAATGAGTGACGAATCCCAAACCAGAATTATGGGCACCTGTAATAGCTCGCCCGATATTACCATCGCTAGCGGTCAAATGTTATAAACTAAATGGTTATGACATATATTACAACAAAAGTATAATAAACAAATTGGATGGCGTTGTAATATACGTTAAAAAAAATATAAGTCAAACTACAAAAATTATAGAAGTAGAAAGATTAAAAATTTTGAACACAATAATAAACCTAAATAATAATAGTGTATTAGAAATATCATCTTTGTACAGATCTCACGATCTCAGCTATCTAGAATTTATAGTAAATCTGAAAAATTATTTAAAAATTAAAAAGAATGTTAAAAATCATTTTATAATTGGTGATTTTAACATTAATATATTGAAATGTGACAATATAAGCGAATAATTTTTAAATAATTTCATAGAACATGGACTCTTTCCAGGTTTCACAAGTACAACTAGACCTTCTGATATAAATAGCGAAAGAGGAACGTGTATTGACAATATTTTTATTAAAAACAATGAAAAGATTAGTGCAAAAACTTTTAAATTAAATATACCAATGCCAGACCACTTTCCACTTTTTGTTGATATCAGGATGTCATTAAAAAAAATGTGGAAAACGGTTGGCCTCAAGGGCCATCCCTGCAACTTCCCTCTAATTTCATACGCTAACGTTCAAATTTCGCTTTTTTCACTGCTTTTGAGCTCTTCGAAATTTTTCGTTTTCGATATCTAGCAAGTAAATCAACCGATTTCGACCCGGTTTGCGGCAAACGATGTGTTTCTTCAAGGTTTAGAACTGATTAGTTTTTGGTGTCGATCGGTCAAGTCGTTTGGAAAAAATTCGAAAAAAACGATTTCTCGAAATCTACTGGTCCGATTGGGTCCAAACTTACACGAAATTCAAGTGCAATGAAACCCTTTGGAATGCCGTTTAGTTTATTCAAATCGGTTGAGCAGTTTAATAGTTATAAGAGGGTCACATACATCCACACACACACACATACATACAGACATACGGACATCATCGTAGAAATGTTCGGGGAAGCTTCCTCGACCCTCAGAACGTCGAGATCTGTTGAGAACTCGATTTTTGCAAAATGGGGTGAAACCAATATCTTCCCGATTTTTAGAAAATTTTCCATTTTCTTAGCGGGAAGTTAAAAATAGATAAAGAAAAAAGTGAGAAAAAAATATATAATTATAAAAAACTAGCAAACATAGCAAGTACAATTAATTGGTCGCGGTATGCGAAATATGATCCAAATGAAGCTATAAACTTAGTGACACAAGAAATACAAAACTGTCTTAAAAAGTCGGAAATTGTAATGACCAATAAAGGTAAAAAAAGAAAAAATTTGCCACGAAAAACTTGGATTACGAAATCAATTGTAAAATCATGTGGAAAAAAGGAAGCATTATACAAACATCTAAAATTAGATCCATTTAATGTAAATTTAAGAAACAAATATAAAAATTACGTCAAAATATTGAATAGAATAATAAAAGACGCTAAAATTAATTACGAAAAAAAAATATTGAACAAAATATTGAAAATTCTAGAAAATTATGGGAAATAATTAATGCTAAGATGGGTAAGAATATATATAATGATAACAGAATAAGTGAAATAAAAATGTCTAGCAATGAAATAATCAGGGATAAAAAGAAAATTGCAGACATGATGAATTCTTACTACTGCACTATGGGAAAAGAAATGAGTAAAAATATAATAATTCCTAAAAACAAAACAATAAATTTACCTCAAATGAGTGCGAACTCAATCTTTATAAAACCAACTACAAAATCGGAAGTTTTGAAGATAATTGATAATTTGAAAAACATAAATGGTGGTATTGATAAGATAAGTGCCAAATCTATTAAGATAATATCTAGTCTAATAAGTGATACGTTAGCAAGTATATTTAATAATTGCATAGATAAATCAATTTGGCCAAATGCACTAAAAATGGCAGAAGTGATTCCTATTTTTAAATCTGGTAGTAAACAAATAATTGAAAACTATAGACCGATATCATTAATATCCAATATTGCCAAAATTTTTGAAAAAATTATTTATAATAGAATATCAGATTTTATAACAAAAAATAAATTACTGAGCTCAAAACAATTTGGCTTTATCAAAAATAAAGGGACGAAAGATGCACTAAATTATATCACAAATAAAATATATGAGAATTTAGACAAAAGTACTCCGATAGCGATAACCTTCATTGATTTAGCAAAAGCTTTTGACACTGTCAATCATAGAATACTACTGGATAAGTTAGACGCATACGGTATAAGAGGAAAAGCCAATAATCTAATAAAAAGCTATCTTAATGGTAGAAAGCAAAAGGTCAGAATAGGTCAAAATAATAGTGATTTCAGAAACATGGACACAGGAGTACCACAAGAGACAATCCTGGGTCCATTGCTGTTCATATTATACGTAAATGATTTATTGTTAAGTATGCCTGAAAATATATAGTATCTTATGCCGATGATACCGCAATTTTTTCAATTGGTAAGGATTGGATAATTGTAGAATCATCAATGAATAAATACCTTGAAGAAGTAGCATGTAATTTTGCGTGAATTGCGTGCACCTCTGGCCATTTACTTGTTTAAAATGGACCTGCTACATCCATGGCAATTGGCTCAAACGGCGCATCTGAATTGTACTGCTTCATCTAGACACGACTCCTGGAACTCGACCCATCAGCAGCAATACACTCGCCATGTCTGGCGATCCACTCCGTAACTGATTGACGACAACCAACTCATTACAATCTTTGTTTTAGTTTTTCCAAGGTTTTAGTGATTCCTATGTGTCCTGCACTTCGACCGTTGCACATTTCGATGAGAACTCCGAAAATTCATACTTTTAGAATAATCACTAAAGCTGGGGAGCTTATCCCATCTTCCCATACAAGATGCAGCAGCCAGACACCAACTTTAAACTAATCCATTGTGCCCAATAAGTCTTTGCGACTGGGCTTTCTTTCGTTGAATGTTAATTCATCTCCAATCCATGTATTACACAAATCTGGATTTTTTCGCTGACATTTTCGCAGTTCTCCGGATCCCAGTCTGACGTGATTGTCATTATTCGGACAATGTCGTTTTTGATCTCAGCTTTCAAATATGAATTTCCAATGACTACTACCTTTGCGATGTTCTATAGAGAAGTCGTAAATTCCAGTCTCAATCCACCATGTCAACTGTCTTTTTGGGTTCCTGAATTGTAGAAGCCATTTTAATGCTGAACAATCTGTCCTTAACCACTTTCTCATGCCCATTAATGACTTGTGGAAGAACGGCTCCTACTGCAAACCTAATAGCCCATCATTGCTGAGCTTTAGACCATCGCCAGCCATCCGTTGGGAAACCTCTTCCACGTTTCTAAGGTGTTCATCGAAGCTCTTTTCCAACACGATAATATTGTCGATTCATAGGTCATCTCCAACGCTGAAAGCCGTCGATTCTTTGCCTTCTTCGTTGTCTTCCAATTGCCAATTACCACTTTTCAATGTAAGTCTTGAGAACCATTTTGTGCCTGATAACGAGTCCAGCGTGTCATCGATTCTAGGTAGTGGATAACTGTCTTTCTTCGATACATTATTCAATCCTCTAGAGTCCACAAAGTACTACAGGGGAACTCCATGAACTCGCTGATGGTTCGATACCGCCGCTTTCACTCATTTCACATATGGTTTGGCTTACAACTTCTCGTTTTGCTAAAGGAACGCTTGTGTTTCACAACTTTGGTTCTGGTTTTAAATCGTCTTTATCAAATATGGATGAGTATCTAGGACGGATTTGTTGAACCTTATTTTGATAGTCTACTTCGATATGTCGTTTTCGCCGATGGAATCTTCCTCATGACGCATTTCACAATTTATCACGGCCTCAATCTCCTTACACTGCTCTAATATAGCTCCATTGGAAAGTTTGATTGATGACTTGCACTCATTAAGAACTCATACTGGAACACGTTTATCTTGCCTTGTCATAGCCAGGGTTTGGCGTCTCCATCTATTTGTGTCTAATTAACTAACGGGTGTTTTTTTTAGAGGTATAGAACTTTAAATTGCAATAAAACCACGATATATTATTCGATTGACATGAATTTTATTTATCCGAAAGATAATCTTATGGCATTACATTTTAAATATGATTTTTGACATATGACCGCCACGGCTGGCTCGGATGTAGTCCAATCTTCTATATATCTATATATTTCTGGTTTTGGTGGAATCTGTTGGCTCTCTGCTATTATAACTCGTCTAATGTTGTACTCGTTATTTGTTACGTAAGTGGCACTTTCATATTTGTATAAGTCATAATCTTGTTCTCCATGCCAATTTTTATTCCTTGATTTGTTAGAAAGTACACCAATTATGACTTCGTCGACAATATCTCTCACTATAAAATAGTGTACCACGGCTGCTTTTCCAATTACGATCACGCACATTACTTTTCCGAGAATTTGAGTATTTTATCTAGTTGCAGTAAGCAATTTTGCCCCAGCTAATGCTCTTACTTCTTTATTAACTAGATCAGATCTGACTCGCCTTTGTTTAACGATTGGTTGGATTTAACACATGATAGATATTCCTCAGCTTTGCAATTACGTTCAACTAATATATTAGACTAGTTACTGTTGCGTGCAATATGAACCCGTTTTCGAAGGTGTAGCATTAAATTTTCGCTTGCTAAGCAGAGATGCCGTTTTCTGTATCACAGCATACGAAACGGTTTCTGCAAACGTGAATTTTAGACATGCAAACGCAGAAAAGCGTGTAGTATCATCTCGTATTCCATTAACGAAGGGTCCTCGATAAACTCCACGGATTTATGTGCATGAGCTAACTTTCTCAATCAATGTAGAAAACACCTGCACATACTCATTGGCTTTCTGGTTACGATTTTGCAACTCGATTTGGAAGATCTGCTTCCTGTGCTGACTACCATACCGTCTTTCTAATGAGCGCATGAACGTTTCATAACTACTGGACTCACAGTTTGGAATGGTTTGTAATATTTCCGTTGCATGTAATTTTAATGCAACGGACAATGCGGCTACTTTATCTTCAACGTTCCAATTATTTGCAGATGCCGTCTTTTCGAATTGAAGCTTTACAACCTGGAACGGAAATGTTTCATCAAAAGTTGGAGGTTTTACTTTGGCAGAGGCTGTCGACATAATTAGCCGATTTATTTGTAGCTCGCGGAGACGATCTTTAAATTCGTCTACTTTTGTTTTAATTTCATCCCACTCTTTCAACTGTAAAGAAACCTGTGCTCATATACGTGTACCTTGCGCTGCATTTGTAATGACACCTCTGCCATATGTGAGGTGACCTTCGTCGATATTACCATGATATCTGCGTTGACATCTCCGTTGCGACATTTGCGCTGGCACTTGCCACGATAGCGGTTCTAAGTAACCGGAACGGACCGAGACTTTTATCCGGCCAAGGACTGTCAATTTGGCATCATTCCTCGAAACTCCTTCAGGAATGTTTTCTGTCGCTACAACATTAGCAACCACCATCCCAACATACAAATGAAATATGCAACACGCTCTAAGTGTAGCCGAACTGCACTACCATTTAAGAAAATTTTGTGAAACGGAATGACAGAAAAACTCGATTCGAGTTGCTGGACTCGTGTCGCTCGTATGAAAGAACTGAGCGACATCAAAGGAATTCGCATTTCTTCGAGACTGCACATTGCAAATGTTTAGCAATTGATTGAATATATTTCATGCCATACAGTTTCGGTCGCATGATGACAGAAAAGATGAAATGCCAGTGTTTTATGTTTTGTTGCGTATACTGCAATTTAGAACAAAACATAAATATTAACCAAACATGCAAAATAGTAACTAAATACAAGCATACATATGATAATTGTTAGCATATCATTGCTCATATTTAATTATTGAATTGGTAAATAAACTTTATGAAACAATTATTTAAGTGTAAAAATATGTAATCTTATTTTTCTAAAAAATACATTGGGTCGGATTTAGAATACCATCCTAGGATTTCTAGAATAGAATGGCTATGGGCTGATAAAGGATGTTCTCCAGATCAAGAAAGTTTTCGCGATATTTGCGTTTAAAATTAAAAATTTACCTATTGAATGTGCGTATTTTTCCGACTTAAAATGAGTTTTGCTTTAATATTTTTCACTTTTATATTCACTAACACTTCACTTATTCGTGTTTACACATTTATTTCACATTAACTTATTGTTCAATTATGTTTATTCACAAAATAACAAAACGGTTGCATTCTGACAATGAACAAAAATAAAACAAAAAAGAAAGAATACAAGAACCATTATCGGTGATGTACAACTTTCGTTGTTGATTTACTTGAGTACCTGCCGGCGACGGCCTTACCTCACGGTGCTCCAAAGCACAACGTATCAATACAATGCGTTGATAAGCGCCCCAAACAATACGAGCTATTTGCAAGTATTTATTTGGATACCAGTGGCAGTGTGTCTGGGTCCACACTACCATCTTGGTATGATTCGAGGCCGACCTAAAACCTCTTCCGTTTTCGGGTACGGAACCCAGTTGCTTTTTGCAACTTTATTTTAGAACTGAAAAAACAATTAGGCTGAATTTTCAGTTATTCCTGCATTTAGGTTTCAACCACAGCCACCACGAATCTCCTTAAAGGGGCCATAACGCAATGAGCAGAGTGGACCGAAATCCAAGGGCTTTCTGCTCCCCGTGGTACCAGAAAGTCTCCGGTAAGACTGCGTAGCCGAAACTACTGCCAGTTGAGCAACCCATTACTCAAATGACTGGTGACATTTGTCGCTTGAACTTCATATGTCTTTTTATTCGCTTTTTCATTTAAAGTGTTTATAATATCAGTTCAAGCTGAGTATTATAGCACTATTCCTGACATACTATGCTGATATTACTGAGCAAGGTACATAATAACAGTCATAGTGCATATTGGCTTTTAGTCGCCTCTTACGACAGGCATGCCTTGCCGCGGGCATATTCTAACCCCTGCGAATAAAATTGTGATGTACAATAAAATGTCATTCAGTATTTCCCTTCTCTTGATAAACCCCGGCGTTGGACAGTCCAGGGTTATTTACTTGAAGTACGGCCGAAGACCGCCAACGCAAAAAGGATTTATAGGCGAAAAAAAATGAGTTCACCCCGGTGTTGGATCGACCAGTGTTTTTTTTTGAAGCGCGACCGAAGGCCGCCAACTTAGAAAGGAACTCTACGCGAATTTTGGGTATATTTTGTTTTCTTCAAACACTCGGTAACACTGGCTATTTGTAAGTATACAACCGTTTTGTTATTGTGTGAATAAATAGAATTGAACAAAATGTTAAATATTAAATATATGGTGAGTTATTTTTGCACTATATAATGTGAAATATATGTGTGCAAACGAATTAGTGAAGTGGTTGTGGATAGAATATAATAGAATAGAATAGAAAGGAAATGAGTAACGCACCGCGCTCTAGGGTCTATTATGCCCTCACCTCAGTCACAACGACTCACTTAGCCCCAGTATATTGTTGAATTTCATTATACTGCTAGGAGCTAATGAGGCGATGTGATCCCTATTCGGGAACTTGGATCCAAGGGTCTTGATTCTGTGTCTGCAAGCTGCTGTGCAATCTATAATCAGGTATTCAGGGGCTTCCGGCTCCATGTCGCAGAACCGGCAGTTTGCACAAGAGGCTAAGCCCATGTATAGATCCTTCTTGAGCTTGTAATGGCCATTGTAGAACGCGACCAGTAGCCGGAATTTATTCCTCGGGAGATTGATTACATTTTTAAACCTGCTGAGGTCGTAACCACCTATTAGCAACCTGGCATGGCGCATGCCTCAGAGTTGTTTCCAACGTCTCTCCGTGCCTCCTCTCATAACGGAGTAGCTCCTTTATATATGTGTAACAACCGCGATGCAGGATTCTGGTCCTACAAGTTTGGTGGAGGCTGCAGAGCGGGCCAGTTATTCTCGACTATACCCCTATGGCCAGGCACCCAAATAAGGTGTTCAGCCGTTTTATACATAATAGCGATTTAACCTCATAAGCAGATACCACCTTTAGTGCCGCCTGACTATTGCTAAGTATAGTAAAAGTTTCATTTTTATAGTTGCGTTGGAGGTTTATCTCTACACAGCGACTTATAGCATAGACTTCCGCTTGGAATGTGCTTGGAAAACTTCCCATGGGAATGGAGAGTTTGGTGCGTGGTCCTGGGACTCCTGAACCAATCCCCTCCGACGTTTTCGAGCCGTCGGTGTACCACTTGATTGTGCTTTTTCTTAGCAGGAGCACCAGCGTGGAATCATTCCATTCCGCCTTACTACTAAGGGTAACTTTGAACTTCTAAGTGAAGCTTACAACTTTGGTAATGCTGTCCCTTGGAAGAAGAGCCAGTGGCATTTCGTCGGTCGCGAGCATTCATCTGTTGGGACGTTCCCTCTGCCAAACCCTTCTGCTGTCATTTGAAGCAGGGTCTGGTTGAACACTATATGTAACGGTATGAGTTCTAACATTCCTTCCAGTGCTGCAGTCGGATAACTACGTATTACGCCTGACGCGCGGTCTTTGCAGCTTCTATAGTTGAAATCTTTCCGAAGTCTGCGATGCTTTAGAACACCAATCCACCGCTCCATATGTTATGATCGGTCTCACAATCATGGTGTACATTTGATAATCCTCTGGTTGCAGCCCCAGTACCGGCAAGTCGGTTGCACACCATGAGTGCTTTCGTTGCCTTGACTAAGGTCAGGTTCACATGCTGCTGCTACCGTAGAGTGGAATCCAGCGTGAGGCCTGGCAGTGACCTTCGTCTCGTAAACGGAATTATTGTAGTTTTAGAGGAGTTGATGTTTAAACAAACCCCACTACTCCACCTCTCTGCTATACCCAATCCCCTTTTGTACAATATCGCAGAAAGTGTCTGCAAATTTACCCCCTGGCTAAGATAACAATGTCGTCCGTATATCTCTGACAGCGGATTCCATTGCTCGTTAGCAGCTCAAGAAGCACCTTCGATGTCAAGAAAGGCGCATAATAACACCTCGCCCCCATCTAACGAACTAAGGATCTCTGAGGTTAACTGATACCGAGAAGTATTAGTTGATCTACCTGCTCTGTAAGTATGCTGCTTCTCATATAGCGGTGCAGCCTTTAGCACCTTCGATCGTATTTCGTAGTCAATGATCTTTTCCCTACTCTTAAGGAAGTTAGACTGATTGGCCTGAAGGATTTCGCCAATGTATAGTTTTTCCTTACTCCACTTGATGGAGTCTGAGAGAGAAGATGGCTTGTCTTCGATCACAGGACGAAACTGGTCTTCTTGAATTGTCTCTGAGAAATGCGCAAATAGAAGAGCCGTAGCTCTTTTTTCTTCGCTGGACGCATTTGTCCCATCCGATCTTTTAATGGCTAGTACTGTATCCGACTTGCTTCTAGCCAGAGCCTTATGCAGCCTTGCTGCCTCTAGTGTTAAGGAGACGTTTTGCACAGAACTTCTTGAAACTCTTCTGCCTTGCTGTCTTAATCTCCTTGTGGTAAGCAGTTGGGCTTGTAGTCTTCTCAGATCCCGGTACGCTTGGCCTTGTTAAATAGTTTGCCTACCGTTTTCCTTGGTTCTAGGAGTCTACTTCACGTCGTTAGGGGACTGCTGTAATATGTCTCTATAATGGACTGATTTAGCGCAGACAATTTGCTCCCCAGTTCAGAAGCCGTTGAACTTCTGTCTAGCTGCCCCTCCACATGGATATTGATTTCAAGCTTATCGCTAAAAGCAGTCTAATCCGTGTTTCTGGAAATACGCCTGAGAGGTAGTTGCTTGACCTCTACCCCCCGTGCGAGTCTTATTATACGGTGATCTGACATGGAGGATTATGATGACACTCTCCATTGTGAGCTTAGTCCTGTCATGAGTTCGTTAGCAAGATTGATGTTCAGCACTTGCTTTCTGACACTTGCTATGAAGGCGGGTTCGCCCCCCAAATTTCCAATGCTTAAATTATTACTAGTTATAATTTCGAGGAGAGACTTACCCCGTCGCTGCTAGTCCGTTCCTTCGTTATCCTTTGCTTGCATAGTGACCTGGTCCTGTGTTAGGAACTCTGAAATACAAAAGGAATCAATATCGCTCCTAACTACTATACAGGTTCTAGGTGTCTTACTAGAGAGTTCCCAGATTACCTTGATTGTCTCCGTTTTGAGGCCTCTGACTTTGCCTTGTAGACCCATGGTTCCTGGATCAGCAGTATGCCCAGGTATTCCGATGTGAACCGTATCTGCCTTCTGCGTAGTCTCAGCAGTTGCAGCTTTGATGTACTTGCGCCGGAGTAAGAAGCATCCTCATTCACCAGCATTTTTCCACTGCTCCACTTCCGGTGGTCGTCTTAGGTTTATATGGCCTCTGGACTACCGAGCTGAACCTGTAGTGTCGGCAAGGCTCCGTTAGGGCAAATCATCCAATGGTCAAGGGGGTCGCATAGCACCCTGGATTAGGAGGTGGGAGCTCGTGGTCGCACGCATGCGGCTTTTGACAACCCGTGTGAGAGTACTGGGCCGCGCTTCCCACCCCAGTAGTGAGATGCCGAGAGTGGCGCCATCTATATGTCGACTAATGCGTTAGAATCTGCTATCAACCACTCCCCGTATTCACCTGATATGGCACGTGCGACTTCTACCTTTTCGGAAAAATGCATTTGCCGATGAAAGGAAAGCGTTATGTAGACGTGGAGGCCATTCAAAAGGTTTGCACCGGCATCCTGGCGGCCATACCGAGCAACGAGCTAAAACACTCGTTCGACATTCCGATGAAACCATTTGTTCTGTTTTTTTTTTTAAAGTCCTGTTTACTTTGGAACGCACCTTGTATATATGTAAATATATTTAACACACTTTGCATATATTTTTCAAGTAACTTAGTTGTGGTTGTTGTTGTATCTTCAGAATTCTGTAAAATTCAGATCACTTAGCTGTAATTACAAGTTCAACGAGTTAGACATTTTCTTGTGAAAAAAAATACTGAAGAAATGTAACAGTCACAATTTCTTTTACGTAGCGATCTGATGGTTTGGACGAATAGAGGAGATCGTCGAACTCCATTCCGCACTGCCGGCCTTTCTGTTCCCTTCGTTGGGGGACCTAAGCTACACATTTACCGAAAAAAATTTATTTCTACTTTTTTCATCCTCCAAAAATTTTTTTTTATCCTTATAAAAATTGTCAACAGTTCTAGAGCGCAAACATACGCTATATTAACTTGAACATACCTAACCAAAGCCATTTCATGCTAGCAAATGCCCACATAAGAACATTGCCAACCTCAATGGCAATGTATTTGACAGATGGTTAGCAATGTACAATACATTGCCTGTGAAGATACGGCGTTAAGGCAGAATTGACCAATCTAACCGAAACTCTTTGCATCATTTAACATACTTATACTAGAAATGGCACCAGCAAAATGGTAAAATTATTAAACTTTGTTGGGAATAAATATTACTTTATAGAATGTGTGTTGGCAACTTGGTTATTTCGAATGAATTTCAAGTTATCGAAACTTATTTTACATTCCAATTTGTTTACCTCACAGGTAAAATCAAATTGCAATTGTTTATATTTACAAAAAGTCGTGGTCGGTAATAATAATTACTTAAAAATGCTATATTATTTGTTTAGTATAAATTAAACTCAGAAGTGTTGTTCCAAAGTATAAATATAACGGGTACAGTGATTAATATTCTTATAGATGCATGTATCTAGAAATTAAAATGCATGTATTATTTAGTTATGTACATACATACTTATATAGCATATACTTATGTAGATGATAAATTATGAATAAGTTGAGGGTTAAATAAGTGGTACAAGTACTACGAGTAAACTGTATATTTTAGGTTAGAATTTTCTGTTTATTTATGGTCGTGTATGGAATAATTGTAGAATATCTTCCCCGAATTCATTGTTAAAATAAAGGAGTAGGCTATGTCTAGCAAGAATATAAATGTATATACATATGAACTTATGTATGTACATATATAGCCTCCGAAAACGTATATACATATAGATTTTAAGATATTTGAATTAAGTTGCAATATTCGAATTTTACAAAGTATATATACATAGCCAATAAAGTCTGCGTTCACCCGACACATTTTTTTTAAGTGAAATAAAAACACAATGTAAATAGGTAATTCAGTTCAAATTTTCTGCATGTATTTTTTCTTTAGGGTGGGCTTTAGTTTAGCATCCCACGATTTCAGGGTTAAGAGGGGTATGGTTGGATAGAGGAGATTCTCCAGATCACGAATATATGATGCATAATATACAATAAAAGAAAAAATAAATATAAATAGAGAAATTGTAAGATAAAATTTGTGAAATTTTCAACTTAAAATGCAAGTATCTCGAAACTATAAGTTTCCGGCTATAATAATATATATTCGTGATATGGAGAATCTCCTCTATCCAACCATACACCTCTAACCCTGAAATCGTGGGATGGTATACTAAAGCCGACCTAATCAAAGAAACTCGCACTTTAAATAGTTGAATTTTAAATGCAAATATCTCTAAAATCATAAGTCAGCGGCACTAAACGTATATATATTCTTCATCTGGAGAACCTCTTCTATACGCAAAAACCCATTTTAATACCGAATCCGGGAGATGCTATTCTAAAATTTGCCCATTCTAAATCTCAGGCGAAAATACAATAATGCCCCTATTACGGTTTTGAACTCCACCCGGTTGAAATGAAGTTGAAGGAATTCAACTTCAGATCAACTCAACCCTATTTTGGTATTACTATTCTCAGTCGATGTGATTTGTGTTGCCACCCTAAAAAATTAAGATAATAAAAGAGCTGTAAATTTTTAAACGAAAAATCTAAACAATTTAAGGTAAATGTATAGTTTAGGTATCCCAACGAATGAAGCCCCGAAAAAAGATTTTTTTTTTAAAAAAAGTATACATAAATTATTGAAAAAATTCACTTTCCGCTCACGGATTTGTAATCTTCGCGTCAAAATAAGACAATTTAAAGAAATGATTATTTTCGCGGCCTACTTCATTGGGGGACCTAAACTATACATTTACCCATTTTAATTTAGTTATTCCTCACGAAAAAGTGAATAATTATTAAAATGGGCATTAGTTTTGATTTTTCTTACGATGACAAAAATGTTGGGCCAAATCTGATGTGCTGCACAGAAGAAAAAGGCTTAGTGATCACTCAAATCCATTCGACCTTCCTTATACCAAGTAACCCAAAGTTTTATTACCAATTAAATGGCGGTTAAATAATTTTTGTGGCAGATTCATAAGTTATTTTCGTTAAAATGGGGAATCATTTTGCTTATTTTTCTAAATGAGATTTTCTTCCCACCGATAGTTATCAAAAATGAATTTTTAATGTTTTTAACATTAGGCTGAAGCAACCTAAAATATCTATGCTGGCTACAAAACTTGCTTTTATGAACTGAAGAAGGGTCAAAACTTCATTTTTCTTAAAAAGTATATTCCTAGAGGTAGTACATTGTATTGACAATGATCGAAATTTTTTTCTCTCGTTGAGTTTTTATTTAAATTTGTCGGATGTACCATACAGTAACTAGAACTGAAACGAGGTGAGCTTAAATTTTTGACGCATGTATTTCCTTGGAGTGGCAACAAAAGTCCCGTTATCGATGGCGTTGCCTGTCTGTGTGGCATGGTTAGTACCGTTAGCATCTTAGCTTATCGAGAATAATCTATATATATAAATTACTCGTCACGTTTTCTCCGGCCTTAACTCTTAAGCTACTGAAACGATTTTAGTTAAATTTAGCTAACTGTGTTCACCTTAAAATATATATTTTATATCTTCATTATGTAAAAATAAAACGTCATAAATATATAAAAAAATATATTTCTAAGCAGCGGTTGATAAATATTTGTATGAATCATTTTCAAAACTAAACCTTAAGTTCAATCGCTTGGATGCTTATACCGGCAATAACGTTTTCGCCCATGTTGCTACAGAGTATAATAGTGGATGACGAGACGAGCTGAAAGTTGTTAAGACATTTTTCAAAAGAGGGCCCGCCTCCTAATAACTTAAATGTAAATTTCTCTAAAATCATTCAAGGTAGATAACCCAAATTTGCACAATATAAATATTTCCACAGTGTAAAAAGGGATGAAATCGGAGATAACCCAGCCAACTCCCTATATAACGGTTTTTATTAAAACTACTAACAGTGCAATGAGTCAATAACTAAATGCGTCAGAAACATTAAATTATACATCCAGGATATCACAAGGGGGTTTTTAAAAAACCGCTGTCAAAATTGGACGATTTTGAGGTATACCATCTCAAGTCTAAAAATGGTCAAAATCGGACCATAACTATTCAAGCCCCCAGTTACGGAATATGGGGACCCCGGTGCCTGGTGCTAACTATTTAGCGGAAATAACAGTCAAGCTGTGAGTATATTATTGCAATTCGGCGAGAGTTTCTTTCTGATAATAGTATGCAAGTATGTCAAAAATGGATTGAATCGTGTCAATACTTTCCTTACCCCCATATACCTTATCGAAATATTTTCGAACTTCCGGTTTACTTATATCGGATAGGTATATTAAGTGGATGTATTTTCCTTTCAATGCTTCATCTTCGTGCCTGAACTGAGTAACTCGGGTGAAAACTTGCCCTAGCCCTGATATAACAAATCACAGAATTTTCAAACATCCGTTAGACTTTACTCCACATATGTTGGTGATAGTATGTTAGGTACCTTAATGAGACTCAGGGAGTATTTAATTCTATTACCAGTATGTTGTAATTATTACCCCAATCTCTCATATACCTAGTATAAGATTTTCAAACTTCCGGTTGGCCTTATGGCATTAGTCAATATGTAAAACATCTTAGCAAAATTATCCGAACGTATAATATTAGATATACTATAGTTTAATGTATAATATTTATAATATAAATATATATATAGTTTAATGCTAATAATAAATATATATATAGTTTTATAAATATAGTTTATTGCCAACTCCCAAATACTACCTGTATTGGTTTTCGTTATTCTAACAAAGGTTGTGCCGAATATGTCGGTCAATTTTTGTATTTTATATTTATAAAATTGCTAGATAAAATAGTGCAAATAGACGACAGTACAAAGAGGCAAGTACAATAAATGTAATAATACATATACACAGTTATACATATTTACTTCTTAGTTTAGGGTGAGGGGAGTCGAAAGGCTATGGGCGTTGGGGATGGTCGGAAAAAGTAAACCATAGTACACTAACCCACAATTCTTTTCAAAACGAACCTGCACTTGTGCCAATGGATATAGGCACGAACGAAAGAAATCAGAATTTTCAAATTGGCGCTCAAGAAAAATACCCTATATTGTCATAAATCCGAATTTGGAAAAACAAAAGTTTATTATAGATACTGGTGCTGAATTTAGCATAATAAACCCCAGGCTTGCAATTCGAAATGGGGAACAATGTTATCCACTTTCATTATTAAACTCCTAAACGGAAATGTTTAAAGAATTTCGGAAAGAAAATCAATTAATCGTTTATGAGCACATGGCTCCTCAAAATAGCACCAAACAAATCTGCGGCCCATAGCAACCCAGCCTTCACCGTGTGATCACCAAGAGTGCCCCGAAGCATTACCCTACTCTCCGAAGATGGGGCTCTGGCTAGACGCCTTCATCGCTTTAAAGCGACCGTCTCTCCTATCCAAGAAGAAAGAAGTACCCCACGCACGGCCCGGCGTACTATCATCCATTCAGCAAAACGCACATATAAACACGACTCCTGTGGATTATGCAAAAACCGATTGGTGACATTTTCAAAATTTACAAACATGAAATTTCACGAAAAGTTTGACGCAGTAACTAAGTATAACTATTGCGTCAACTGCTTGGCCTGATCGCTCTCAACCCAAAAGTGCACAAGCCCAAAACGATGTAGCATGTGTAACAGGGAGCATCATTCAGCCGTTCACGGTCACCCCAGGTTCTGCAACGAACCAACCAAAACAACTAAGAGCGACGAAAGACTGCACAAACACAAAAATATTCCAACGTTACTGGCCAAGCTGATCCTTATACCGCCTTAGGATCACTAACTAATTCCGACTCGTTAACCCAAATCAAAATAGATCTAACAACTTTTTTATTCGCAGACCATGCAAGGCGACCGGGATGTTCTAACCAAATGAACACATCCCTGCATTGTCCTCGAAACACGTCTAAATACGACTTAGAGGACAAAAGACTCAACAGCGCCAATTAAATCCAACAATAATCTGTTTCTAATAAGAACTGAATAAAATTGTACCCAATGTATTAGGGATCACCCCAAATTTTGTCCGCACTCCCAGCTTGCACAGTTATAAAAGGAACTGAAAATGCTTGTTTATTTGGTTGCACAAGTTATATTATTTTTCGAATAGAATTAATGTGATTTTACAGAATCATGTTCTAAAGATAAAAATTTTTATTAAAAAATATCGGAATAAGGGTCGCTGAATGTAGCGTCGACGCGTGCGGAACGGTGTTGTGACGAAGTAGTAGCGCGCGGGAGCGCAACGAATTGTTTTAGCGAAAAATGATCCAATTCCTTTTGTATAGTTGGTGAGGTCGGATGTCATCGTGCGTGGTGTTCTCAAATGTTAAGTGTGGCGGTGTCGTCGTTTGTGGTGAGATCCTGTGAGTGTTCTCAGGTTTGTTTCCTGGTGTGGTGTATACGGTGGTTTATACAAGGCGTGCCATTAGTTTTCCGGGTGGAGTGGCTTATTTGGAGAAGGGAGTTTATACTCATTTAAACATTCTGGGCCCCCTAAGCGAATGTTTTGCCTAGTAATGCACGAATATGCTGTTGCATGTATTTCGGCTACTCTTGATGGAGCAGCCGAGGGTGCGGCATACATGCTGTAAGTGTAAGAAACCTTTTTTTGTTTTGTTGTAAATGTTATGTATTTTATTTTACTTTTTATTGTATTTGCGTTTTTTTCTTTTATCGGTTTATCATGCGGATTTTTTATTATTTGATTTTTCTGTATTAGCGGCACTTCTTTGCAATTTCTTTATTTCGGCTTATATGATAGCGACTCCACGCCTGGCTCAGATATGGCCAGAATGGGTGCTCCTTTGAAATCTTTGAAGAGGGATTTTGCGAGAGTACAATGATTGGCCGATAATTGAGAACGGCTTTTTTTCGAAGTAGTAATGTGGTAAATTCGATATGTTTGTATATATAATATCCATCTACTTTTTTGAAGTTTGAAGCTTTTTATAGCTAAATCCAATGAACCACCCATATCAGGAGCGCTTAGATAGATGCGATAAGTTCCACTTTTGCTTTTTGTAAGTCTAGGTGTGTCACTGTATCACATTGGGAGTATGGTGATTCCTTAACTTGATTTTTTAATTATTTTATATTTATGAAAATTTAGACAACTACGAGGCACTATAGTAAGAGAGGTAACGATTTTTCGACTTTCTTCAGACAATTTTGTTATATGTTATTTTAAGTGCTAATGCACTTATTTGGCAAGTAGGATTATTAGGTAGATTTTTGAAGCAGGATTTTGTATCATTATTGGCAAGAGCCATCCTGTGGGATCGAAAAGTTACATATTTGCGTTTTTAAACCTGATCTTGTCAGAAGGGACTCTGACTTTGTTTTTTTTTGCCAATTCGTGGAGTGTTGGAAGATTGTGAATTTAGTGGTATCCGTATGACGTCCCGGCCATTATTTGATCAAGTAGTTGTGACTTTGTAGAAATCTTCACAATACTGATCTTATGGGGTTGTAATAGATATGAGGGGGCGTTTTTTTAAGTCCCGAAATTTCCTTAATTGTGAATTAACGTATTCTTTAGAGATTTCGTCAACTTGAGTTGTTGATGTGGAATCTGGTTCTGTAACTAGTCCACTTAGAATTCAACCAAATATAGTGTTTTGGTCTAGAAGAGTAGTTGAAATTTTTTCAACACTTTCAAGTATTATTTGCGGTATAAGGTCGCTGCCTACTATTATATCAATTTAAGCGGGGGTATTGCAATTGGGATCTGCCAGCTTTAGGTGTGAAACCTTTTGCTAATTCTTGCTATTTATGTGATGGCTTGGAAGCATGTTAGTAAGTTGCGGTAGGACTATAGTTTCTGCTACAATTCGCTTATCCGCTTGGGGGGATATTAGAGTAATGGGGCAGATTTTGTGTGAGTTTTAGACTACTCTTCCGCCTATTCTCGTAATTTAAAAATTAGATTGCTTTGATGGCAGTTTTAGACTATTTTGTGCCCTAGACGCTATGAAGGATTTTTGTGATCCTTGGTCTATTAAGGCTCTAAGTTTATAAAGTTCTCCTCGATGTTCGATGGAGATGACTGCTGTGGGTAGTAATACTCTATTTTATATTTCGCTGTGTAGCGTTTGAGTGTTTTGTGCCTTTGAGCCTTTGAGCAACATGGGGCCTTTCGCAATTTTCGGGATTTTGTATTTCGGGATTTGCTGTTGCAACTAAACCCGTGGCTCTTTTCATAATTGCGCTGTTTGGGGGTGAACTGGAAAAATTATTTATGTGAAGCATAGAATGATGTCGTTTATGACAATAAACGCAATTGAACTTGCTTTCGCAATCTTTGAGTGAATGCGCATGTGACATACAGTTTGTACAAAGTCTTTTTGTTCTTACGAAATTGTTTCGATCGGTAATATTCACTTTTTTGAATTTCCGCAAGATTTGAGCTTATGCCCCCCTGTACATAGTTCGCATGACGTTTGTTTGTACTGTTCGGATGTGAACGTTTGATTTTTGGAGATGCTTCTATTTAAATTATTGTTGGTACTGGGTTGGGGTCTGTGGAAGCTTCTATTTAGGTCGTGTTGAACGCTTTTCGTTTTGACTATTTTTTTGTCTACCCTTTCTGCGATTTCGTACTGGGTAGTTAGGATATCTTTCATTTGTTGCCACTTTAGGTATTTGAGATGCGATGAGAGCGATTGCTCCCACAAAAGTAACGATTTCTCAAGTAAAGCGGCGGTGCATATATTATATTTACCAGTCTGTGGGAATATTTTGTGTCGATAGAACCGACAAACAATTTGAAACAGTGGATAGTAGTTTAACAAATTCTTCACTTGTTTCTTTTTTAATCTTAGGCAAGTGTCGTTACTTGTTTATCGACCAATATTCTTTTATTTTCATATCTTGCTTTTAGAGCTTCCCAAGCCGAATTGAAATTGTCGTCATTAAGTGCGAACTGTTTACTATTGCGCCTACTTGACGTTTTGTTTTGTATCGGAGGTGATACAATTTTTGCACTTTTGATAATTTTGGATGGTTGATGTGTACGGCTGTGAACATGTCCCGGAAGGACGGCCACTCTTCATAACCTCCATTGAATATTTCTGTGTCACATGCGGGCACCTCGAGACGATTTAGAGTTGTCTGCAGTATCGTAATAATCTGTCACCCTCAGAAAAGAATTTGGCAACCTGTTTTGAGCGTGTAGCTCCTGTAGGTGTAATTTGATTTTTTGTCGTCATTAACTATTTTTGTTATGTTGTTTATTACTATATGTGTCAAAGTTGATTAAAATTTTCTCAGTATTAACTGAGTTTAACGCAGCGATAAATGATAATTAATATCGAATACTCTTTTACGTATATAAGAATTTTTTCGTTTTAGATGAATATTTACTTGCGAAATTTTTTAATTTGTACTTAATTTTAAATATTTTGTTGTGTGTGTAATTTTAATTTTCTTAATTTAATTATTAAGAATCGTACTTTTAATTTATCAATACTTTTTATGTCCTTATGTTGAGGTATTTAGGTACACCTTAACACACGGACTTATATGTATATATTTATGTGCTCGTAAAATTGAGAGTTCGTTGAAGAGATCAATACACTTTGTACATAAGTATGCACGGATTGTTGTGCGTATGTATGTTTATTTTCTAATGTAATTGAGAGCTCATTGAAGAGATCAATGTGCTTTTATTTTTTTGTACGCAATCCTGCTTGTTTGTTACAAGGGGTATTGCAGGATGTATGCCAATGTGAACTTTGAAAAGATGTGTATTTTTGTTTTTAATAAATTATTTATTATTATTTTCTTTTTTGTAGATTAACAGCTTTTTATATTGTAAATTTTCAATGTGTAATTGTCCCAATGTATGTAGGGTATATAAGCATAGGCACAGATTTTATGCCGTATGTATAAGTATCAATGTTCGCACTGCGAAGAGAACGCGAAAGCGAATTGAATAATGTGCAGGTATTTTCCCCTATGCACTTTGTAAGTATATTTTTGTATATATATATATGTTTATTAAAAATATATATTTAAAAATATATACAATAGATGTAATATGTGAGCGTTAATTCGATATGCATATATGTATGTTTGTTTGTTGTGTTTTAATTTGTTTCTGTCTTGTTTTAGGTTTGCTTTTTTGCTTTCGCTTATTACAAGTATATGCAATCCTGTTTATTGCTTTATTAAGCATAAGGGGTATTGCTGGAGAAATGTGCAAGTATATACTTGAATTTGTTTTTTGTTTCTTGATTGTGTGTTTGAATTCACGAAGGTAAGCTATTAAGTTAATATTATTTATTTTTATTTATGTATTTTGAAATATACGTTATACCAGACTGTATTCAGTTTTTCCCGAAAAATAAACTCGGAACTGTGACAGTTTGGTAACCGCTTTTTATGCTGTTAAAACGGATTTTCTGTTACAGGTTTTATATTAAAATATTTAAAACTGCAATTTTTACATACATATACGCATAAAATAAGATATGGAAATGAAATAAATACGCTCATTTTTTAGGGTATAAGCGGCGTACAGATATGTTGTGCTGTTGTTTTTTGTTTAAAAATTCGCACCCGTTTCTTTGTTTTTGGCTTTTGGTTTCGCGCTCGATGTTGTTGTTTTTGTTTGTTTAAAATGTTTTGTAATATTTTGCACTGTTTATGTATTATGTATTTGTTATTTTCACCGAACTTATTTTTCTCCTTACATATGTGTTTGCATATAATGGTAGGTTTGTGTGTTTTATTTTTTCTTTCTGTTTTTTCAATTGTAACTTATTGTCTCCTCTTTTTTGCTTTTTGCAAAGTAATTTATGTTTTATGCATACATATGTACGCATATATTTTTTCGTGTAACTGCACTTTTTGGTTTTTTAATCCCTCTTGGTTAGTAAATTTGTATGTGTATACATATATGTTATGTATTTTAGCGGACCTGCACAGAACTTTTGATTTTTGTCATCACAATTATTTTTCATAAAATTATATATTATGTTTCTTATGTATGTTATGTTATCTCATGTTAGGTAGATATATATATATATATTGTTTTTTTTTTTGTTAATAAAAATCCGAAGGTGCCTTTCGGTAAGGCTCGAAGGACCATGAACAAGATTGTACCCAATGTATTAGGGATCAGACCAAACTTTGTCCGCACTCACAGCTTGCACAATTATAAAAGAAACTGAAAAAGCTAGTTTATTTGGTTGCACAATTTATATTATTTTTCGTATTTGTGACGTAGTAACGCGCGGGAGCTGTCGCATCGAATATTGACGTGGCGCTCAGGCTTGTTGACGAAACGAATTGTTATAGCGAAAAATGATCCAATTCCTTTTGTATAGTTTAGTCCAGTCATTATAGTAAGTTCACCTCGGAATTCAGATACCCAGCTGTAAGTCTGTATATACTTGTATATTGACACCCTAAAAGTTGTCTCAAAACCTACATATGGTAGGGTGTACGCAACTATTAAATTTCAAGGTCAAAGGTCACGAAAATCGGGTTTTTGCGCTTTTTTTGTAAATATCTCATTTTTTATGGGTTTTTTGCTATTGGTATTTATTATCAATATTGTAGAATACAAAATTCTCTACAAATTTTGTTTAAAAATTTTTTTCATACGGTGAACCGTTTTCGAGATAGAGGGCTTAGAGCGCGCGGTCACAGCATCACTTCAGGTCAACCGGTGCCTCCGATCAAAAACGCGCCATATATAGTTGATGAACTATCGATTAATCAATGATTATAAATATTTGTCAATTTTTATTAACTATTATATTATATTTTATCATTTTTTCCTAACCTATCCACTTTTTATTCAGTATTAATTTATTTAACAACACTTACCTGCCCATGAAATTGCAGAATTGTTAATGAAAATATAGGAATTATATTTGAATTTAAACCTTATTAATATTAATAACTTCTTACATGATAAAAAAAATATATAAAAAATATATTAAAAAATATCATTCAATACATTTATTTTTATTAAAAGTAAAAAAATGGAATAAAGGATACAAAAACTACAATTTATAATTTTAATCATCTTCTTCCTCTTCATCGTCGTCTTCCGGCTGCTGGTAAATTTCAAACTGGTCTTCATTATCGTCTTCAACGACATTTGTTTCAAGTTCTTCCATGATTTCGGGGTCAAAAGTTCCATCTTCGTTAATGTCGCTCTGATATGGTAGAGCATTGAGACAAGCTTGCCCATTACATTGGCCACAAGCTAAAGAGCATTGCAAGCCCGCTTTCCTGCATCCGCATCGCGAATCACAACCACTGTTGCAGTTGCAGAAAATTGTATTTAGCAAATGTTCTGGAGCAGGTGGTAAAATTGTCATGATAGGCTCCAGAAAATCGTTTCGCATTGCCCAACCCCATACCTGGGGTTCCAAATCATGCCCTAACCAAGTTTGAATTTGATAATATACACGTTCGAAATGTTGATGAGCAGCTGCACTTGTTGGTGGAATATTTGAAAGCTGCACAGGTTTATTAAGTTTTGTAGACTTGACGTAATGCATATAACGAAGATGATCGAGACTTTTCACAGATTTCGGATCATTATAGACTGCCAATAAGGTTTGAGTTCCACTCTCTAATAATCTCTGGGCCGAACAATTTTCTTCCTCAAATGCTGCAGCTAGTTCATCCAAATTGGTCAGTTTCTCAAAAACTTTTAAAAATTTTTTTTTTCCCTTTTTAAAAAGCGCAGAAGTTGTGTCACATCCACTTAATGCGTGCAGAAATAAAATATGTGTTTTGAAATGAGGATAATTATCGAAACTTTTAGTCGAGCATATCTCCGTTTTTACATTGCCTTTCCCAACTTTTTTAAAGAAAATTTCTTGTTCGTAAGACAGTGTACGCCCAATTAAAATGATGAGTAAATCAATATCTTGTCCTATTATTTACAAATTTACAGATTTTAAAGAAGATGCACTTAATTATTTTCTAATTAAAATGTCATTAGTGTTAATCGGAATATAATTATAGTAAGATTTAAGTTTTTCCCTTCATTATTTTTTAATTTTAGGAAATGGTGATCAGTATTATTGAATAGATAAAGATTTAAGGCATGAAGAAAATGATAAAATATAATATAATAGTTAATAAAAATTGACAAATATTTATAATCATTGATTTATCGATAGTTCATCAACTATATATGGCGCGTTTTTGATCGGAGGCACCGGTTGACCTGAAGTGATGCTGTGACCGCGCGCTCTAAGCCCTCTATTTCGAAAACGGTTCACCGTATGAAAAAAATTTTGAAAACAAAATTTGTAGAGAATTTTGTATTCTACAATATTGATATAATATAATATGATAATACCAATAGCAAAAAACCCATAAGAAATGAGATATTTACAAAAAAAGCGCAAAAAAACGATCTTTGTGACCTTTGACCTTGAAATTTAATAGTTGCGTAAACCCTACCATATGTAGGTTTTGAGACAACTTTTAGGGTGTCAATATACAAGTATTTACAGACTTACAGCTGGGTATCTGAATTCCAAGATTCTTACCTAATTTAAGCTTAAATGACTGGACTAGTTGGTGAGGTCGGATGTCATCGTGCGTGGTGTTCTCAAATGTTGAGTGTGCGGTGTCATCGTTTGTGGTGAGATCCTGTGAGTGTTCCCAGGTGTGGCCAGTGCCGTCTTAAACTAAGCTGGGGCCCTTGGGCACATCAGAATTGGAGGCCCTTTTGGGAAGTAAAAAACGCTAATTATACTAACATTTTAAAAATAAGTTTAATCATTTATTACATTATAGAAAATCAAATAAAGTATGAAGTTATAAATATTATGTCATTAATGATATTCGAATGCTGCTGTTTTTTGGTTCTGATTACGAAAATGGTTTCTTTCGAGATTTCTGTTGAGCAAAATCTTCTATTATATCATTAAAGTCAATGTTGTGAAGGATATCACTTTCAATGGACATAATTGACAAATTACTTAGTCGTTCTTGTAACATTGTTGTTCGCAATTCATTTTTTATTCTTTTAAGCTGCGAAAATGACCGCTCTCTACTGCAATTAGTAACTATCAAGCAAAGGAATATTCTTGTAGCAATTTCTATGTTTGGAAAAGTTTCTTCCAATTTATCTGCTTTTATTAAGTTATGTAAATTTGACATATTTAAATCCGCCGATTGCTTTGCTATGTTTTTTAAATATTGACTTAAATGAAAACATTCTGTTTTGAACTCATCTGCATTTATGTCTTCATGATAATATTTTGAAAATTCTTTGCATTTTTTGGTCAACTCATCAGATTCTATTGTTGTTAACTGACAAAGAAAACTAAATCGACTATCAATTTCTTGGTATGCTGCAGAACGTTTTTTTAAATGAGTAATTAATGTGTCAATTATGGGAATGAAAGTATCTACACGAAACTTTTCTTTACCTCTCAACTGTGCCATCTCTGATGATCCTTCAAAAAAAGTAATGCGTGTGCTGCGCATTCTTTTTCTTTCAAATGTGTCTTTGTAGTCAGCATATGGATTTTTTTCTTTAGCAACCGTTTCGTACTGATCAAAATTATCGCGTGCGGTATTGGCATATCTGATCAGAGACTCGTAAAGTTTCGTTACAACGTCCATGGTCATAGTTCTATTCTGTAAACTTAGACTTGTTTTATTCATAATTCCCAAAAGATCATTCCATATTTCCGTTAGAAGAGCAGTCTCAAACTTTTCCATTTTTTTTTTTTTGCTAGGCTTTGGGCTTCCTTTCTAGTGTCTCCTGGTTGATTAATGTCACTTGCGATTGAACACAATGCTTCAGAAAATATTTAAATAACCATTTTGCAAAGCATTAATAGCGTTGGCATGTGCAGACCATCTAGTTTCTGAAAGAGACTTCAAGACTGTATTTGCACCTAAATGCTCTGTCAAAATTTTCTATCGTTTTGTCGAAGCCGAAAAAAAAAATTAAACAATTTTTGTACAAATTGAAAGAATGTTACTGCTTCAGTAACACACTCAACAGCCTGAACACCCACTAAATTCAGCGAATGTGCCGCACATGGAACGTAAATCGCAAATTCGCAAACTCTTTTATTCTTGACTGAACACCAGAGTACTTTCCAGACATATTTGACGCATTGTCGTAGCTCTGCCTCGACAATCTTTTATAGAAATATCAAGGCTTTTAAAAAGTTTAAATGGTATCTGCTATATATTGCGCATTATGTTCATCCATAGGCAAAATTGCAAAATCTCTCAATAGGCTGTCCGTCTTTAACGTATCTA